GAGTTCCTAATGTCAGAATAACTTAAACTTGTTTTTAACATTACTGAATTATTTTTCAACATTAGATAACTGAAACTGGTAAAAGGTTATTTACGTAGTACTTTTTCGGAATAAAAGTTAACGCAATGGCAATGCTGTACATAGAAATGGATATTTTCAAATTCTTTGCTATGAGAATATTATTAATAAGATTTCAGATGTCATAATAAATCAACACAATTATAGAAGTTGTGATTTTTTGTTAACAAATATTACTCTCACCCTTCTTTATATAAGAAGGCCCCACTTTCATTCGTATAGCTCGGACCTGAAAAGCTCTAGATGCGGTCCTGATTTTAGTCATTTTTTTCTAGGAAAAAATTCCATTGCGTAAATTTTTATAATCGCTTAAATAATTACATGACTCTTATAACACTGGTCAATTTAAAAGCATTTGAACAAATTTAAAAACACTCGTTTTTCACAATGTATCTATTTAAACATTGGTGATCATATGGATACTCGGCCTAATGTTAGTAATTTAATTTTCTGTCACTAATTGACGTATTGAAATTCTGAGTTTTCTATGCTGAAACATAGACGAAAGCATTCCCCGAGTGAAGTCAAAAAACCAACATGGTATCACCTTAAAAGAAGGATTTACATATATATGTTTATGGATATTCACAGCTATATGTATATAGCTATATGCGCCACACATGCGCATAACTCTACCTTAAGTTGTCATCATGTTTATTTGTAGGCTTAACTAGAGTTAGTTAGTTAGAAGTTTAACTAGAGTTCGAGTCATGCTTTTCTCCAGCGAGTGCGCAGATCTGTTTATACCGTGCTCGGAAGTGTTCGTCCGATTTTCACTAATTACTTTACATATTGGTAATGAAGTTTTTTTTTGTAATAAATGCTCGTTATCGTTAATATCAGTTCATGCCAATCATGCTAGTTATCGATAGAAATGATACTATGTGCTACTTTTCGTGAGAAATGTGAAAATGTGTCGATCGTGATCAGGCGACTGAAATCTGCTACTTTTCGTAACGCACAACATTATTATGACGATATTATACCTAGACACTTACAATATTAAATGAACGCAAACAAATGTTGATATTTGGTAACTTATAACGAGACAAGGTTACAATAGGTACATTTCGTCGAAACAAAAATATTCGTGTCGTACTATTATTCACTTAAATGTTCGTGGTATACTTAAGCTTTTGTGGTCCTTTTTCTTTCAAATTTAACTTAATTGAACTAAATTTTTAGTGATCTCCGAGTCTATACATATTTTCGCAATAGTTTTCACAATTTTCTTAAGATGCCCCTGGACATGATATGATATTTACGGATTAACCTTTGTATACATCTATTACTGAAAACATTTGTGTACAATATACATATATTATATTACATATATTTGGGTATATTTAATAACATAGAAAATATTTCACTGTTTGTTTTCATAGCAAATTAACTGTACGAATATTTCTATCTCACACTGTGTATTGTATTATTACAAAAATATTTATTAGCTAGAACTTTTTGTAGCCATTATATATATAGTTATCTTATTTATAAACAGTTCATTCGTTTACATTGTATCTACAGGGTATAAATAAAAAAGTGGGCGCTGCTTAAAAGATCGATTGTTGATACGAAGAGAACAATAAAAAAAGTTGATGTAAAAAACTTTTGTTTCTTCTTTTTCAGGTTATAAGTCATATGATTTACACTAATTTTTTACCTAACCTTTTACCTTTTTAAACTAAATTTTACCATTTTATATTATTTTCCTACTATTGGCAAGAATGTAGCAGATGTGTCGAACTTTCTTCATTGGCTTAATCACACTGCCATTCTCTCCAGATCTTTCACTCTCAAGGTTCAAAACAAATAACATTCGATACAGATGGAAGTCAACCACTACATCCTTTGTCTCTAAGTGAGAAACGTAAAGTGTGAGTGAGTTAGAGAAAAAACTCTCTTTGTGTTTAAAATCAATCTTGTAAGTAGCTCTCCCTTTTTTTTATTTTCATTTTGCATGCTATTGTTGGGCGATTAGCTCTTTCTCAGTCATAAATAAATAAGCGTCAATATGTATTAATTTTCTAAAAGATAGTTTAAAGCATGCGAGTGAGTAAATCTCACTTGGCTAAGGGAGCAGTGTAAGCGGCGATTACAGGATATTCTATAAACTACCCATGTCATCGAGCACAGGGAAAAATTGTTTCCCTACTATTAGTAGAGACTAGTATAGAGATATCGTTATCATTATAGATATCGAAGTCAGTCGTTATAGATAACAATAACTTGTTAAAAATTGGTCTAGTTTATCAGATATCGAGTAAAATATTTTTAAAAAATTGTGATTTTCTGAATTGCAAAAGAAATAGTAAAAGCCACTTTTCCCAACCTTTTTTATGTAAGCTTAAAATAAAACTTAAAAAAACGCATTTTGTACATTTATGTCATACACATGCTGAAAATTTGATGCAGAAACAAGCGAGAGGTATCGGAAGTTAGATTTATTACAAGTATAGGTAGAAGGTCGTGAAAACAGTGCAAACTACGATTTTCACCATTTTAATTATTTGTTGCTTAAAGTAACGTTAGCCCATTTCGATGAAATTTTCAGCATGTATGTTATTGTCATAAATATAAAAAACATACTTTTTAAGTTTAAGTTTTTAAGGTTATGAAAAGCGACTTTTACTATTTTCTTTGCGATTTCGAATCAACTGAAAGCTTTACAAAACTTTTTACGTGTTATGTAGTAAACTAATCCATCTAACTTTTCGAGAAAAACCAAGTCGTTTGGTTCAATTTTAAAAAAGTTATTTTTATAAAGGTTGGACGAATACGAGTGTGAGTACATTGCTGAAAAACAAAAGGCGCTTTGTCTGCCGGAACATAACCTGTCGCTATACATTAGGTTATCCCAAAAGCTTCTTTTGTTTTATAAGGAAATAACAGATGCACAATATTTTTGGTTTTACATTATTTTATCAGATTATGTATGATTCATTTCGTTCCAGTGGAACGCATCTTGTGGTATCTAAATATAAATGTTGGGCATCCATTATTTCCTTATCAAACGGAAGAAACTTCTGGGACAACCTAATATATATGTTGTACCTTCGTCATAGAGTACACGGTAGTAACAGGGCTTAAATTAAATTCTATACAGCGTGGTTGGTAACTGGTGGTACAAGCGGAAAGAGCGTGATTCTACGCGAAAAAAGAAGTCGAAAATATGGAATAAAAATTTTTCGTTTGTGGCTTTGTTTTCGAGAAAATCGACTTTGAATTTTCGCTCGGTACGCGTGCGGTACGTTATAACGGATCTCACTGTAGATCGTTGTCTCGATGGAAAAATTAAAAAAAAAAAAATAAAAAAAATTTTTATTCTATATTTTCGACTTCTTTTTTCGCGTAGAATCACCCCCTTTCCGCTTGTACAACCAGTTACCAACCACCCTGTATATAGAGATTTATGACTCGTATTTTACGAATAAAAATGTCTTCCTGATTTTTGCTTTTCACGGATACGTGACAGACCTCTTTTAGGAGAAGATGGAAAGGGTACCTTTGCCTTAGACACATCATAATAAATGTTTTTCTTTTAGTAATTTCTTTCTTATTTTCCTCCTATTGCATCTCTGTTAATAGAAAATTTGTTTCATAACATTTATTTGGTATAGAATTATTAATGAATAGAAAAACATTTTTTTTATTTCTTTCCAATTATGGCGGTGATGCGTGGCATGAGTCGCACGATAAAAATATTCATTCATAGACGTTATTGTTACCAATCTTTTTCCACAGAATTAAAATGTTTTCCTCAAAAATCCACTATTTTCACTAAAATATGTATTTTTTAATATCCTTATGTACTTCCGCAGCTCATGTAAGAGACGAAAATTTATGGTTTTTTGGTTTAGGTCGCACTAGTTCTAAAAAGTGCGTTACGCTGATGAATAAGTCAATTTTACATGGCTCATTGCGCATCGCCATTTTGTTGAAAATAAATAAAAAAAGATTATATTTCTGTTCATTAGTAGTCATACAATAAATCCCGTAAAACAAATTTTCTATTGAATTCATATAATCAATAGAAATAAAAAATAGGAAAGAAATTGCTACAAAACGTAGAATTTTCATGTGTCCCAGGTTCACCTCTTAAAATATGGTCTGCTAGTCTGCCAGGTGTTCGTGACAAGCAGAATCTTCTATTCGTGAAGTACGAGTCATAAAGTCATAAGCATTTATGCCCTCTTACTAACTTGTATTCAATGCTACAGGTAATTGATTGAAAGAACTAATTTGTTTATTGCCTGCCGGAGGGTACACGTGATTTCGGGTAACCACACACTATTATCTTAGAGGTTCTCCCAGCTTAAAATTCAATATAACGTTATTATTTTATTGTTATAATAAGTATAAGGATTGCTGTGTGCCACCTGTTACTTTTCGACGTTATATCGGGATAAAAATAAAGTTAAATACGTCTACGAATCATGTGTGCTTCTCTTTATCTCGCGAATTTCTAAAATCATAATTATAGTGTTCTCATATTACCTATTATATTTTTTATCAATTGATTCTTCAGCGAGTTAACTTCTGAATCCAAATTACTGTATACTTTTTCGATGGAAAAGGACCAGCATTATTAAAGAATTCAAATAACAATTCTATAATATAAAACATAGTTGGTAAGTTAAATTAAATCATCATATTTCGTACTAGTAATATCAAAATTATTATAAACGAAATCTTCACACGAACAGAGATATGAATATCTGTATTGAAATTCAATTCATTTAAACAAAATCGAAAATCTGTTATTGCATTGCAATAATGATTAAATTTATTTTATAATTTTTATCTACGTCAATTCTATATTGATTTTATAGTCACTCTGTCTACTTTGTCTTCGATAACATTTTCAATTACAACATATTTGAACTGCTTTGTTAAGGCGTTGTTATTTGAAATAAATAAATAATTATTTTAACAGTTATTTTTAAGCCAGGTTTATGGTGCTGCAGTATCTGTTCTAATGGGGAGTGTTAGATTATATAGAGGCACCTTTATCATATTTCGGATCAGTTTCATTCATAGTCAGAAGAACTTCTAATTTCTGGAGTTAACGAAGAAGTCAGAGAGTTTCTCTGCGTCTCAATTACATTGACGCAGCACAAAGCGCTAATCTGGAGTTCGGCCCCTATGCAAGTAACTTGTATCGATGTATTGGGTTCTTTAGCTCGGATAACTATATATATTATATATTTCGCTCCTTTATCTTAAAGGCGGTGTTTTTATGAGCGTTGCCAATGTTTAGGAAAGCAAGTAATTCTTCATTGGTCAACGCTCTATCATTCTGTTACGAATAGGATTCTCGCCTATGTTATGTTAGACGCTGTACTTAGTATTACTCATTCAAACGTAGTAGAGTAAACGTCTAACCGCCTTTAAGGTAATTCGCATTCTGTCATTGCCCGGTCTCATCTATTTTATACCTACTATATCAATTCTACAGTCCTCTTTCCCTTCCTTATTGTAACTATTTTATAAATTGCGAATATCGGGCGGCTCGGCGTGTTCTTTATTTCTTCTTTCCTTAATTTTCTGAGTTTGAAAATTTTAATTCGAGAATCGACAGCAACAAAGGAGAATACTACGAACTACTGATCGATAGTCAATATCAAATCTCCAGAGTGAAGCGTAGAACGAGTTTTGAGGAAAGCTTTATTTCAACTTGGATAAGAATAACCGGATAGCGAGGTAAATTTTAACCTTAATCCTTCATTTAATCTTTCACGTTCTAAAGGAATTCAGAGGTACTGTTTTTATTAATACGTTGCTATAAAGTAAGTGTGTGTACATTTAAAATTAGATGTTATTTATAAGCAGTACTTTCGTAGAATTCTCGAAATGTATTGTAGGAAGATATATATCCTAATAGATGTATTATATATAAGGTGGATATATATATGTATATATCTTATTTTGATGATGAAATAATATATATATATATATATATATATATATATATATAACTATCTATTTGCCATTTTTATTTGTTAGTCTTATTTTGATGATGAAATAATATATATATATATATATAATAAATATTATAAAATAAAAATGACAAATTTACGATAGTTATACAATACAATAATAATATAATAATAAATAATATAATAATATGATGTATTATGATAAAAAATAATATAATAACATAATAATTCAGGACATAGAGGATCAAGAAGTGAATCGAGATGCCTAATAAAAAGAAAACGCAAATTAAACCGAGAACTTTTTGCGACAGATGCCACCGGGTAGGACATCTCACACGAGATTGTTTCACGCTTATGTGCGACTACTGTAAAAGAACAGGACATGATATGATGGATTGTAGATCCTTTGAGAGAGATAAAAAATACATAATAGATTCAGCTAGGCAGCGTTACAGAAAAAATTTTGCAAATGCTGGTCCACAACCTGAGGGCCAACCTGGTACCAGCAGCGAAATCAGTACAGAAATGCAAACCCTATCAACTGTAGGAGCTTACCGTGAATATTTAACATCTCCTTATAAAGATATTATCGAGATCTCAACCCCAGAATTGAAAGGTGAAAAAGCAAAGATGATGGTTTCTAAAAACTGTCCAATTACAATGATAAAAATAAGTAGGTTAAAGGACGATGTGACTGCTGCTAAAGAAGTCCTCACTTTAAAGGATGGATTCGGTGCTCAGATTCAAACCATATGTGTAATATGCTTAAGTATACACGTAAATAACAAGACTGTACTACATCCTTGTCGAGTAATTTCTGATGACTTTTACGTAGAGACAGATGGCATATTCGGCTGCGATTTTATCGGCAGAGCAAAAATCAAGGATGGGAAACATGTAGAATTAGCTGGAGTACGAATACGATTCATCCCTAACGAACATGTACGCGGAGTACTAAGAGTTAATGAACTAGTGGATGTTCCAAACGAGGGCTCAGATTCAGAGACACTAACAGGATCAAGTAACGAATTAAATTCTTAAATCAGGTATTTCTCTCGCGTTATAATTTACCAAATAATAATATTAGCCAAATGAGGTAGGTTATAGTCTCTAATAGCTGAATTTTTTAATTTTATATAGTAAATGACAATCTGTCAGAATTCTATTTATAACGTTTTATTCTATGTTACTTATTCTGCTAAACTTATACCGTTTTCTGAAGAATTAATTAAAACATTCACTTTTATCTTATGACATACGGATATGTACTCGAGGAGAAATGAAGGTTATCATTTCTTTTGCAATATTTCGACTTTTCAAAACCGTTATATAGATCACAACGGACGTGCAAGCACTTCGGATGCCATATTATTACAGCAGAATTGAATTTAATGAAATAATATTTAAAAATGTAATTCAATTATCCGTTCAATTATATATATCATAAGTTATACGCGAAAACCTAACATTATTGATATTTAACGGTATAATATTGATAGAAGTACGTTAATCTGATACATATTTCGATTTATGTAATATTTAAACCAGCGCAATTATCTGTTATTTGCAAACACTGCGTGACACAAGTACAAGACTGTTATAATTCCGACTGAAGGAAAATATATCATTTTAATAACAAAATTCACAATATAGATTAATACACATCTAAATATAATTTAACGTTAGCAGATTTTCCTGAAAATACATATACAAATGTAAACTAATTTAAAAAAGTCAGATGATGCATGATCAATTAGCAAACGCTTAACAGAGTTAAAAACATACATTTTTGAAAAAGATAGTACTGCCCCTGCATAATTTTATTACATAGTAGTTTTACTTATTTGACTTATTGTTATAAGGATAGCAATAATTATCATTCATTCAGCGAAAAGAATGATATGAATAAGTAAACTGCGAACGTTTATGTACGAAAAATGTGAATATGTAAAATTGTAGATCAACGTAAAAAATATCTAAAGTAAGGTAGTCGTTATATTTTTTATATTTTAATATTTTGGAAAGTAAATCAAATCTCTATTTAGATCTCAGGTATTTCTTAGTTGCATTTACAAACATATAAACATGCATAAACATTTGTAGTTTGCAAATAATCAATAAACAGAACCCCCTATACCAATTATCCATATAGATTGAAAAAAGAAAAATGTTTGCATCAACATCTAATGTACAAGTATAATACGAACAATTTACCGATGTACACGAAATTCTTATCCCATTTATACTGTATTTTGCATTTGTATAGTATTATTCATCACGCGGTTTACGGAATTAAAGAAGAACAAAGAATTCGTAATGTAATCATGGAAAATTAATAATCAATACTAAACGAAAAACAAGTCCATTGTTATCACATTACTAATGTTTATTTGCAAAGTGTTTGGTTTCTACTCTTATCCGTAGAGCATAATATCATCAAGCAAAAAAAATTTGAAGTCTTTGTATACTTAGTGTCACATTTAAGTCAATTCATGTGAATAACGTTTAAGGCGTTAATAATATTGAAAATATTCCAGATTAAAGCATGTTTCTGTAAATGACTGAGATTTTGTACTTAAAAAAACATTTGTGGATAAGCTTTCGTCTCTTTTATGCCTCTTATTATTATTATTATTATCCACTGTAAGTTTGATAAGAATTAAATTTTCATTCAAAATGTGAATGAATTACTTATGATATTGGCAAATATGTGTAAGATCGTACATTTAATATCTAATAAATTTTTACATTCATTCATCAAGCTATTTTTTTTTTATGTTATTTAAATTCTATTTTGTGTGTTTATGCAGGCCGCACAAGAAAGCAGGGAAAATTTTTAGGAGCATATAGCACCCATCAATAAAGAAATCTCAATGAACATAGGTACAAATGGGTTCATGGATTTATTAAAATCTTTTTTGCTCATTTTCATCATTACTACGAGCTCCTAAAGTTTTTCTTCAACCTTTTTGTGCACTCTGTATATATCAAAATTATAAGAAACTGTATAACACAGGGTGTCTCAATAGGTCCACGTAAATATCTGCTAAACTATATATTATTCGAAAATGTGTTTCAAGTAAAACTTGCTTTAAACAATATATTTTACCTTGATGCAAGCATTTGACAGAAAACATTTATTAATAAACCTTATGATGATCTTATCTAGATTGGTGTACTTTGGAGGTTTCAATGTTATCTTTGCTTTTTAAAGTGGAAATATATATATATATATATATATATATTTTTGATATATCATTTGATGCGTTTTTTAATTCTCTGCAAAAGTAGGTATTAAATACAAGGAAAGATAACGCTTTTATATTTATGTTTTGCTGGTTTTCTGTACACTCAATTTTATGAAATTAGTACTGAAATATCTTTCAAGCTCTACTGTGTAAAAAATATACAGTTCCATCCAAAAAAAAGATACTGAAAAGTCCTCCACATGGACAAATCTTACAGTTGTCATAAGACATCCTCCTTGAAACAGAACAAGTTTTATTTGAAACACTTGTTCGAATAACATATAGTTTAGGAAATGAAATTCCTTGTATAATAAAGATCTTTCAGTAAAAAGAAAGGATGAAGTTCTGGAAACGAGTCGAAGAATAAAGACTTAAATTATCTTATTCTAACATTTGTTTAATATCTGAAGAATTTCTTTTTTAATGAAAAATTGTTTAAACGAACTTGGAGAGGTATATCAGGATCCAGTTCAAAGGCCTGTATCTTCTCACTCCATGGAACCAACTTCTTTGTTTCGTTTTCGATGAAAAAATTAAATACGTTGCTGCCAGTAGGAAACTTAATAGTCTTAAATTCGTTTTGCCACCACTTATTGAACTCGTTTCGCCAATCGATCAATTGATCTTGAAAGGTCGCTGATCCGAACGCCCAAATACAGGCAAATGCAAAGTATAATTCGTACCTGTTCGTAGAAAGGCATTAAGGACATAGAAAATCATTTAAGAACGATAAGAAATGCGGTAAATTCCTCTATAGCGCCCGAAAATTGGGATACGAGCCAGACGTTTATCGAGGGAGGAATCGATGCTAAGTATAGGTACGGTCCATCATTCTTACGAATTTTAAGAAAGGACAGCGTGAGTGAAAGTGAAAACGGCTTATTATAAAGAGAAAAAAAGCATATCGGCGAGATAATAATAATGCAACGATGAAACGTTTTTATTTTTCGTTTTTGTTGAATAAAACGTATGTCGATGTAATTGTGAGGCTTTTCTGATTAAAGCAAGATCAGACACCATATAATTTGGAACATGTTTCCTTATTTAGTGACATTAACCTATTTTCTGTCTATTAAGTTTGTAATTTCTATTATGTGAATATGATTTAATTTAGGCGTGTGCGAATTTTACTCGGGATCGGGTTGCAATCCCAGAAGTTTGTAATGTTCGGATACCTGAAATTGTAATCGGGTCAGGTTAGGTTATAACGCTCCCGTGCGATTTTCTCTTTTTTATTGCAGAAAAATGTGAAAATCATTTCGAATCTTAAAGTTAAAGTACAAAATCTGATTGTAAAATTGAGAAACAGAGTGATATTGATATGGTCACGAAGTTTCTTCAAAGGTCCCAATCTGAGCCGATTACAATTTCAGATTTTCAATTCGGGATCGGAGGTTCGATTCAGAACATAATTTTTCTGTTATCATGCACCTAAACACTGCTTAAGCGTACTAAAAAACAGTGACACACTGAAATTTCATTTAAATTGTTACAATAAATATTTACAATTAGGTCAAGTACAAATTAACCTTAAACTTAGTTCAAGTACAAGTTAACCTTAAATTTTCTGGATCCGGACCCGAGATCATAATTTCGGTTACTCGCACAATCCTAAATTTAAATTACATCGTGTTTGGTCTTATTCCAATCAGAAAAATGTTACAAATATGTTAGTGAAAATGTCGCGACAATTCTGGGTATGTACTTTTAATTTTTCTTTAGAACTAAACTTAAACTTAACTAACCTCAATCTAGGAAAAACCCTACAAAATAATAATTGACAACATATTTAAAACTACAAGCGAAATTTACAATTGTGATACAAAAATTGAGAGGTTAGCGAGCCATAAGTTATATATGATATATAACATAAGTTATATATGATATACATATGACTATTAAGTTTCATTCTTTTAAATTATTTTTTATTTGTTATTTTTAGTTATTTGAATTTATTATCAATAAATATCAAATTAAATTTCCTTCTTAACTGTTTCCTGTTTACTTTCTGTTATTTAATTTGCGTTTATGCATTTAGAATTCTTTGTGACACTTTTTTAATGATATTTCATCTTTTTAAATAGTCTTTATCAACATGTTGCAGCTTGAAAAAATCTATGATGGTCACTGAATTGTATGCTACTACCAATTTATTGTATTTAAGGGAACTGATCAAATGAATATATTCCGATTTTTGAATGAATTATTTTTTGAAATATGTCGAATCTTTCAAACGACGCCGCATATCTTCTTCTACTATGTTGTAGTTGCTAAAAAAACGAATTCAACGATCTATAATGTAATGTCATTTTTGGTTGACTTTGAATATCAGAATGAAGCGAAAATTTATGGAAAGTAATAACTGCATCCCGCCCTCAGCAAGGTCTGTATCGATCCTAAGATCGACTCAAGTTCTCTACAAATCGTTTCGTTATGAAATTCGAGGTCAACTGAAGGTCATTTTCGTAGGTCGCTAAATTCGTCTTTCTAGAGTAAGCAATACAACAGTAAGCAATAAAAAATATACGTTATTATTAAAAAAAACTATCTCAGAAAATATAATTCATCAAGATATATTCATCTGATTAATTCCCTTGAATACAATAAATTTCATTTGAAATATTTATTGATAATGTCGATAGATAACGAGTTCTTTTAAGCGTATATAAATTTTAGTACTGTTTAGGTCTTATTTATACCATTCCTTTGGGCAATCCGGTGTTACATTTTCCTTAATCAGAAAATAGTCCAGTAATTTACAAAGCATTTCCACGTGACATATTTCCGGTAATGGCGTAATTTTTTTAAACCTAGATTTTGTCATTTCTACAAGGGATGGTACATATTTATCGAACAGAATGGTTAAGTTCGCTCTCTCGGCTGGATCTCTTGTTTCTATCCAGCTGGTTGCAAATCTAATCAAATAATAATAATAATAATAATGGTAATTCATTAATTAATAACAATTATATAACATACATGTATGTATAACACATACAACATATATTATATAACATAACTTTATAATAAAAAATTGAAAATATTTGTCAAGTTCAGTGTGCTATAATTTAATTAAGAGAACTTATATGAACTACAAAAGTAAATAAATGTTTACTTACGGATACCACCCAATATCTTGTGGATTTATATAAAGAATTCCTGCCCTAGAAACAGTAGCTGGCGTTGCTGTCCTGAAATTTATTTTCCAATCTTACTTAACTCTTGTACGATAAGAAATATTCATACATATAAATAATACATAAAATATTAAAATATGTTAATATAGAAATACAGCATGTATTAGAACAAACACTATAACTAAAGACAATAAACAAACATATTGGGTATGTATATCTATACAGTATGTCCTGTTTCATTGGGAACGCTCATTGGAAAAATAGGAATGATACGAAAAGATGTCTGAGATGAAGTTGTGTAGTATCAGCGACGACACACCGTACTTTTATCAATTTGAACTTAAAATTGATTGCACGAAACTGACTGTTTTGGAAACATAAAAAAGCTCATAAAGCTCGTGTCTCGATAGTCGAAACGATGGTGCAAAAAGCAGGAATTTGTAGTGTTTTAAAAACTGATTGTCAGCTACAGGAATCTATAATCAGAAATAAAGGTACCCATTTACAATTGTTTTCATTTCAATTTCAACTCGATATCATATAACTTTTGTTCGAAATATTTTTTCATATCATTCGCATTTTTCTAGATATTTGAGCATTTTCAGCTAAACAGGACATACTGTCTATGTCATATAATAAATAATCATATTGCAATACGTAAATATTGAATGTGCTTTAGCTTCCGCTTGTAATTTGAGGAAAACAGTCACAGGAGATTAGTCTATTTTCCAATCTCCTGAAAATGTTCCCAGCAATACGACATCGTTTACAGTAAAAATGTTGCGTCGATGACTGATGAGAAGGTCGATAAGAAGTCTAAGTTCTAGCAAATTTGTGCTCGTAAACTAAAAATCGATTGCCACTCAATTGGTACTTAAAAACTGATTTACGATCGAGATTTGTGATCTCAATACTAATAGAATTCTGAAGAAATAACCACTATCGTAAATATGCAGAAAAGGGGACCTCGACCCTTGTAGAAGGGAGAGTCTCGAGTAACATACGCTTCTTTCGACGCGTAGAACGATCGTGTTCAAAAGTTATGACAAAAAGAAAATGATATTTGTTAGATTATGCTTATGCTCTGAATATAAGTAATTAAAAACGAAATTTCATATGCATTTGTATAGATTTGAGATCCTAATAGTGGTAACTAATGATTAGGTTAGGTTCGATTCCATGATCCACAACATCCAACTTAACATAACTTTTGAGGCCCTCGGACAAAGTGTATGTTATTTAGTCTCTGCCTCTCTACAACATATCTTAAGATCAAAATCGTTGGAGTTGAGGCTTCCTTTTGTGGTTAATCAGTTATAATACTTACGATGATAGCTATAGTTATTAGACAAAAAAAATTACCAATGATAAAATGCTGCATATTACCTAAGATTTGAAATTTCGAAGAGAAGCCTCATGTGTTCTGTTAAAGCGATTCTTTCGTTGCTAGCCAAAGTTAACACTTTGTTGTCATCCATGACAGTGTTTAATGACTCGATCCACATCGGATCTATATCGCCGTCAAAAATGATCCATTTTGGATCATTTCCTGTCATGTTTGCCTGATCTCTCATTATCACGGAGAACAATCTGATTGATCAAGATAATTACTTATTAAATATTTCATATAATATGTTAACGATTAAAAGATGACAAAACTATGTATGATATAATTCATAGCGAGAAAATTGAATGTATTTACTATATATAAAATCATGTATATTAAATTAATGTTTTCTAAATGTTAGTAAAACGGCTCTGTTCACAGGTATTAAGCCACTTTCAGAAAGTACTTGTGTGTGTCGTATGTGTAAGTATGACTTTTTAAAAGTTAAAAGAGTAAAAAAGGTTTGAAAGTTGTTGAAACTATTAACAATTATTATTTAGTTTAAAACTTATATAAAGGTAGGCAGAGATTATAGCATCTTATGATACATAAAGAATTTATATACAGGTATCCTTCGTATAACACGATAGTTAGGTTTCGAAAAATACCGTAGTATGCGAAACAAAGAACTGATATAAAAGTGGAGGTTAGGTTCCAATAGTAAGTATAGCAGTAAGTATAGTATATAGTAAGTAAGTATATATTAGTAAGTATAGCAATAATACTTTTTAACGGTTTTTCGATATCATAATATACCATAATACACTGATATAGTATTTTATTCTGATATATATTCTATTCTATCACATTCTATTATATCATAGTACTATATTATAATGTAATATAACATACTAATATAGTACTAATACTTGTAAGTGTACTACAAAAGTATGCTATTTTTTCATAGCCAAGAGAAATATATTTATTAAAACAATTAATAATTAATTCAAAGTACTACACATTTATATATTAATATTATTTATGTTACTTCTAAAAACTGTCGTCCACATTTTATATGAAAAATAATGAAAATCTTTGATATCCTACTTCGATGTAGCGAAGAAATTTTCGAGTGCAAATGGTTAATACTCCTCGAACTAAGAATAAATTCAAAATTTTAATACTTCTAAATTCCGTATGCAAATCTGAGACAACACATATGCTTGTTCGAATGAACGATATCGAATGGTGCTGCTTGCACTTAACGATTTTCAATTCGTGTTTTTTTTTACGGGAATTTTCCCAATTCTCAAATCGTGTTGGAACGAATTTGTGTTTGTAAGAGTACCATATTATAGAGGGATACCTGTATCCAATGTTATAACGTTAAATTTCTTCTCGTTAATATCTACTATATCTCTCGATCATTGCTTTGACCAATTCAGGTATTCGCGTTATTAACAAATTTTAATAAATGTAGGCAAACCTCTCTGCATTTTGTATTTAATTCATACGAAATTTTTTAAATAAATATGTGTATATAGTCATACGTTTATTATGTATGATTTTTCACACACATGCACATACTATATTTCCCTTACACTCTTCCTATATAATAGTATATTCTATGAATGCAAAATTATGATTCCTGAATTTAAATCGATCATCATATCATCTCGTCTGAAACTACGAGATATTCTAACGTTTCTGAATGGGATTTATAAAACATCTAAAAAATATCATTAAACCTAGCGTTGCTGTAAGACCTATTGTTAATAGTGAGATGAATCAAACCCGTCTTTCCATTCCCGCGTTGCAGGATTGATAATTCCAAATAGTTCGTCATTAGTCACTGCTTTCGGATTCAAGTCATTATAATATGGCTTTAATTGCTGATTAAAGTACGTTCGATTAAGTGTTTTCCACACTTCCGTTTTTCCAGTTCCAGCAAATCCAACAATGAAAACTGAATGACGAACATGAAGCAATTCCTCTAACTGTACAACCTAACGAATTTAATATAATTTGAAATTTTCCATATACAAAACTATTTTTCATATTATAATGTCAAATTTCCTCAAACTTATGTACGATAAACGACTTTAAACGTAATAAATATAGGTATAATTATGTATACAACTTTAATACCAATTGTTAAACATTACAACGCAAATCAGTTTTACTCTTACTTTTAGTACAAAACCATCTTCTGGTTGTAATTTGAGATCCAGAGTAGATTTTCGGACCGTTGATTCAAAATCTAAATCCCTTTTTCGCGGAACATCCAGAGCGGGAAACAAATCACCTATAGAAGCAAATAAACTAGTAGGTTAACTTAAGTGCATAAACGTATAAGTTATGATAACTTAGGACATATATACTATACATATGTATGGATAAACATTATACTCAATATGATCTTGTTTTCGAGTTACAGTCGTTTCTATCTATTTGTCATTTTGTGGTCAATTGAGATATTTCTTTAATCACTGGAAAATATACTATTTGAAATAATGGTACGTATTTCTTTTACGCATGATAATATCTCACTTCAGTTTAGTTGATTAGTGAAACAGTTTCTAAAAGTGATTCCTTTAAAAGCTATTCCCAAAAAGTAAACGTAAAAGGGAATAAGATAAATATTGTTGTACGGTAATACAAGTCACAATCCAATAAAAAGGAATATAAACAAGTTGGAAAAAATAGTAAAAGAAAGTTAAGATTCTTGAGAATTGATGAAGAATCTTGCATTTAGTTTCAATTATGTAGATTGTAAATTTGTAAGGCAATTAAGGACTACAAGAAACCAATTTACCAATAAGTCCCATAAAAACTGGAACATCGTCGGTCACGATTTTCGGTATATTGAAGTCTCTGAGAGCTCTCATTAGCACCTGATCTTCAGCTCTCCCGGGATCGTCTCTCTTTAATTTCCCTGCAACCACTAAAACCGACTTAATCGCCCGTAGACCCCAATCATAGTGATCTTGCTTCGACAAAAGTTCTCGACAAAGCTGATACAGCGTTATGAATTTTCTTGCTAGTAATCTAGCTTCTTGGAAGCCTTCCGCTACCAGCATTATTTCGCAAATTAAGTCAAAATCTGGAACTACCATGGCGCAAGGCCTTTAAAATAAAAAAAAAACAGTGATAATTCTTTCTACAATAAAGTACAATTCATATATTTATATATATAAGAATAAACATCTAACTGTGAATGCAGAAAAATCAAAGATGATGAAGCTCAGGAAAGACACAGGAAGAAAGAGAAAATTGAAGTAGTACTGGAAGAGAGCAAGGATGAAAAAAGCATCAAGGAGCTTACGTACCTAAATGTACCACTGCAGAAGTAAATGGGAGCATGGTAAAGCATGTAAAAGGAAGAAAAAACAAGGCGAATGAGATACTTAAGTAAATACGAGGAACTAGGAAAAGAAAACTTAGAGATGATCTCAGATTAAGAATGTTCCTATTTGATGTGCTGGTGATAGGAGTACTCATGTGTGGTGTGAAACTGCAGTGATGTACAGTGTAACAGGTACAAAGCAGGCACGATACACTAATGTTATGTGTATATCAAATTGTAACTGAAAATTTTATTTTGGGATGATATAAAATCTTATTTCATCTATGACAATTGACCTTCTTCATTTAACTATTACCTGTACTTTTAGTTAATAAGTTGTCATATTCTTGAGTTATCAAACTGTATCATCCATTGATTTCATTGTTATGCACAAGAGTAAGATGTGAGAAAGTAAAAAATAAATTATTTATCAATTATTATCCCTAAGTAAGAAATAAATTATAAACAAATAATGCCATTTATTGAAGCTGAAAATTTAAAAATCATATGTATATGTTTCACTTTTAAAAAGTAATATTTTCAAAAAGTAATATCATTAGCGCCAAGCATACTACGGATCATTATTGATTCATTATTATTAATACCCTACATTAGACAAGATAGTATTTTTTATGATAATACGTATGACTATGGCAAATGCATGTAAACGTATGTATACATCCTCCGTCGTCATATTTTGCATTTTTCCATTTTCTCGTGATCACTCCTATTAATTTTTTCTATAATAAATTTATTATATAGCCTCATTTTTTACAATGAAATGCAGTGTTTAATGCAGCATTGGAATGTAATTTGCTGTTTAATGCTAGTATGATTGTAGTCTTATGTAAGTACAAATATAGATGATTTAACGTACCTGAATAAAGTTTTCAAATTTTCGGGCAATTCCGTCCTTCCCGCATAGCCAGGATTCATAGTGATGAACATTCCAACAGTGGGGACGAGATTCAGTTCTTCTCCGAAGAACAAAAATATCGGTTTGCGGCTTTTCACTCCGTCTAAAACTGATTTCACTTGCACAGCCACCACCGAAAGTACCTCCACCGAAATTCGGTTGAATTCATCGAAACAACCCCATGCTCCTACTTGAGCAAGACCTTTGTAAATGTTTCCGCAGGACTGGAAGAAAATGATAATATCACTTACGTTCAATCAACATTTGAAACGAGAAAATATATCTTCGCGGGAGAGTCACCAAAAACTTACTATATGAAATAGTGTAAAGCAACACTTTAAATCTAAATACCTACTAAATTGTATAAGAAGTTCACTCATATTTCTTTAAAAAAGTATTAAATATCACTACGTTTATTTTACGTATGTAAGATATATTTAATCAAAGGTTATGCGCTATTTTCTATTCCATTATATTTTTCAAATAGGTTAGATAATTCTTTATCCCATCACACTGAAGCTTTCATTAAAAAATTCTAATATGTATAATACATGTGTACATTCGGATAGCCTTTCGGGTCAAGTCGGAGAAAGTCGTGCAGCTTCGGACGAAATCCCGCCATGCACGTGGCCGTGATTCGATTCGAGATTGTATTTGAAATTGATTATTACGTTTATAATGTAATCTTTGATATTCGGTTTTTTTAGGCAACCAGGTACTCAATAAACTTTCTCTGTATGGAAGTATGAAATAAGATAATTTTCCCTCGAAGAATAAAATTTGAATGTAAGAAATGCGATTGTTTTAAATATTTCTGCAACTTTATGAGCGAGAGATTATTCTCGACATCGGGTAGTATAGTCATTGCCACAAGTACAAAGTTATTGCCATGAAATTTGAAACAATTGGGTTTCTACATTGGGGTTTAAAATTGGCTGTATATTTTGATCCTTATTAAACATCCAGTAACTATTTCTTTTCTGTCCGTGTAATTAGTACAGTAATATTAAAAGAGTAATTTGTTAATAGAGTACGTTTTCCAATTTCCATAAAATAAGAATAAAATTTATATACTTTCTATAAAGTAAATAAGCAGGTTATATCGAACGAAATTTATTTCAAATATATCCATTAGAGATATTATTATTTCACAGAAAAATTATCTTATTTCGAAGTTTCATATAGACAAAGATTTTGCATTTGCCTGTTGGGTATTTGATTGCCTAAGAAAGCTAACTATCAAGATCGTTACTATCGTATGAAGATAATACGATCAATTTTATTCCAAACACAATCTCGAATCGAATCACGACTATGGGTATCGCAGTATTTCGTCCAAGCTCGGCCGAAAAAGCCCAAAGAAAACTGCCCGAAGCAATGAGGCTATCTGAGTGTACGTACGTGTTGGGTGACCACTCGAATCTGCTCGAATTTTTACAGCTCGACCCGAGCATGCCCGAATTTGCCCGAACTTTTCAGTCCCAACCCGAACCCGACATATCGTGTACCGACATACTGCTTTGTAATCTAATATGTAATTTACACTCATGAACAATTTCATTATTTAACACTTATAATATTAATTCTCTTTTTGCTATTAAATGTAATAAATATAATAATAATTATGATAAATTACAATTATAAACAATATTTATTCATACTAATTATCGTATGTTCAGTCACTGTAGCTAACATGAGTAACGTCTCTATAATATTGTTAAAACTGCAATACCAAGAGGTGAACAAACTTAGTGCGTAACTTAACACAATTAGATACTAAGATTTGGATACTAAAAATAAAATATTGGAAATTTATAATAAAACGACTATCTGATGTACCATATCGAAACACTGTATCTTTTTTATATAAAATGAGTTACATAATATGGGAATACAAGTATTTACGTTTCCATGAGATAAATTTGGAGTTTTCAGACTCGCTTTCGTTCGTGCAAATGGAATGCTATATTTTTGTTCTAAAAACTCCAAATTTAAAATTCAAAATCACAATAGCAAACACAATGTGTCTCTTGTAAATATAAAGTAATTTTATTAATATATTTTTAGATACAAATAATTGTTTAATATCTTTATTTACGAAATTTGTAATAATTTAGGTACTTCAGCTACGATTTATACGAGGTAAATCACATAATTTAAACATTGTAAATATTTTTAGAAAATTTATAGAAACTTATCTTATGCTACTTTACAGAAATTAATAAAAAAATTGATGTAACATCAGAGAACACGTATGATACTGAAATGGCTTTATTATCCAGTATCGAAATTTGAGAAAGTAATTTAGATCTTTAAATATGTGTTCTAAATACCTATTTCAATCACCGTACATGGTCGAGCCTGAGCATTGTTTGCCATACAATTGCGTAAATCAAATTGTCTGTGTAGTAAATATTGGACGAATTTCAGAAATTCGGTTTCTCATACCCTCTATTGTCATTAGCTGTCCGTAATATATCGTTTTCTATTGCGTACCACAGAAGGTAATATACCGACATCAAATTGGGAAATCGTGATGGTCATAAAAACTCTTCATAACTGTCCTTAATTGTCAAATTGCATGTAAGTCAACAGAAATTAAATACTTTGGTCGCTTCTTATGTAAGTTACGATAACTGGGGTACGCAATAAAATCAAGGAAAAGGTTTTCGCGAATGTTTCGTTAATCAGAGTGAAACTTCATTTATCCGATACGGTCCGCGGACAAGACGTGTCGGATATTTGGCACGGTCGGATAATAATAGAAATTTGCTAGTTGTTCCTTTCTTCGCTGTTATTCGTAAAATCGGAATTAATTTTCATGTAACTGGATTTTGCTTTTCATCATTTGATTGAAATTCTGTCACTACTGATATTGGGGTACGTTGTTACGTAGAAAGATTAAACTGAATTTTTTAAATACAGTGACATGTGCAGTATTTGCATGAATGGAGAAGCATATAACTATTTGGATGAGGAGATATTCAGTTAATAGAACCTGCGTCTCTTTTTATTATTATTATTCTATATTTCAAAACAAATAATACAAGAACAATCACAAAGAATACCATACAATATAAAAGGAAATCTTTTTTGAATTATCTATGGATTCTACATCTTTTTACTAGTAAGTCAAATTTTGTTACTACATTGAACTGCGTTGAATTATATTCTGTTTGTGCCTCAAACGACCTAGTCCTCTTTCCAATGCTATAAATACTTTTAATACTAAACACTGTAAAGAAGCCTTTTTATTGCCACTTCCGCTGTACTCTCCTTTCTCTCAGTACGAGGACGTAAAATGTTGATATTTATTTAAATTTCAAAACATTCTTGTACAATATACAGGGTGTAACAGAACATGTGGAACATGCCTCAGGAATTGACCTGAAAATAATGAAAAAGGTTCATATAAACATATGTTCTATCTGTTTTAATTCATGAAATGTAAGTAATTGTTTGTTCAGATTTTGTGTTATCTAATTACCCTTAAAAAAGATGCTCAAAATGACCATCTCGCATTTCAAGGCAAGTCTGTAGATTTGTAGCAAGTCTTGCCATGGATCCAGTTGTACTCTGAATAGTTCCTGACGTTATTGATAGCCAAATTTACTCATAGGCTTGTTCCATTCTGGATGTTAGTATTTCAACAATTCCAATACATGATTGTGTAGGTATACAATATATTTGTTATATCTCACATACGAAGAGAGATAGACCATACATTCGTATGAGCTTCTTTCGCTGTTTTCAAATGTATTGTACAATCAGCTCCAAAAGTGGATATGTTCTGTAACATCCTACATATCTAGACACTGATTCCTTTATTGCTGATTTATTATCATTGCTATAAGACAGAGAATAGATATTTATTTTCCAAATCCATTAATAGAGTTTTTCTGCTTCCTGAAACACTTGGGTAATTCTCACACTTGCTCGTTTCTGTTTTTGATGTCATTAATCGCAGATCTTCTGACGTTGTACATTTTTGCAATTTTTCCAACACTACCACACTTTTTTTCCAACTTTTGAAGTATCTTTCCTTTCCATGTAACGCTCAATATATCACGTTTCCTCTTTGATGTCATCAGAGACAAGAGATATTAACTTGTAGAATATTAGCTTCGTACTGAAGTCATTAGGTGGTATTGACAAAATCCGCACTCACTTAGTTGCCACTCCAATAGTATGAAATTACACAAGAGACATATAATAGTAAATGACACAAGTAAAAAGTATTGTTCCGTTAATTGAACGTGTGGATAATAGATCTTCGGCTACTGAAGGTTGTTGAACCAACTGCACTAAGGCAAACACATTTATTCATGTAAGTGGCATGTCGCGTAGATTAGAACTGGATAATTTATAATAGGAGTTTAGGAACATATTCGATAAATCGTGCATTATGATGATACCAGTCTGAATGAAGGGAGTTCGAATAAATGAAATATAATGGTATTAAATTTGTAATAAATATGTCATTCGTTGCTAGATTTGGGGAAAGCTCAATATAAATTTTAATATTAAAATATATCACTCTCCGAAAATTTTACAAAAAACTTAGATATTTCGTTTTTAAATTACCATAAAAATTACGATATTTCCTACGAAAATAAATTATTTGTCAAAGTAAGTTTATAGCATTTGTGATCTTCGTGAAACCTTGTAATTTATATATTTAACATCCTTCTGTGATATATATGTATATAGCTTAATATCTGCACGTAGTAGTCGTCACATGTCTTATTCTACATTTTCAATAAATTCTACATATTCCTTGAATAAAAACATGAAGTAATTTTATAGAAATATTGTTCAAAATTTTCTGCTGGAGCAAATTCTCTACCTATCTACTTCTAATTGTATTTTATTGATTGTTTTAAATAAGAACAAAACAAGTTATTAATTTACATGAATATTTTTATCACTTCAATTTAAAAACAATAAAAAATACTATATATATAATATAATTATTAATCAATTATTAATTAAATATATTATATATTACTATTACTATAATATATATAAAATTCATAACGTATAGCAATGTAAAATTAATAAAATTAATACGGTGAAAAGTTACTTGACTCGACGTACTTGCTTTACTAAATACTTAAATACTCAAGAAGTAATATTAGCTCGTTACTTAAGATTTGTGTCATAATAAGTGAAAGTCAAGTAGAGAAATTAATTTTTAGCCAATATACATCTCTTCATAGAAGGCATGTCTGAAACAACTCCGAGCATTATGTAATTCATATTCAGATGCACAGTGTGTTAAAATACTTATTTATATTACCGTTTGTTATAGTGAGACGTAAATCAACACGTTATGTCAGATAACTAGACAATAATTGGTACTATCTTTTGTACAAAAAGAAGTACACATAAAATTCGATTTTCCAAAATGTTATGCTACATTACCCCCATAATATATAACATTCGACTTATGATTAGTAATAATTAGATTTACATTTTTTAGGAAGTGGAAAATTCTGGTGCAAGTTGGGAGCATATGAAACTTTTTGCATAGTTAAAAAATATGTTGAGAAAGGAATATGTGATAAAATGAAACAAATAAAGAGTGTAACTTGTGCTCTTACTATTAAGCTGCTCATTCATTAATACATTTTATTTCATTTTTATTGCAAAATAATTATTTAATTTTCTTTAGATATATAAAATTTATTTGCTCCATACAAAGTACAGTAGAATTTCTAAAAATGACTATTGTAAAATGACTGGTGTAAACTTTACGTAAAATCAAAATTATAAAATATAATTATAAAACAAAAATACAGAATAAAACTTATATGTTTGTTATAAAAATAGATCTCCACGTTCCAAAAGTTGTGTAAATTTTAATTTCAACGTGGAAATTTAATATCAAAGATCTATCCATAAAATAACTATGAGTTTACCTTATAATCCATTTGTTCGGAACAGTTAAACACATAAACCATTTGGCCCAACGCTCTCCCTAAATCTTTCGTGGTTTCTGTCTTGCCAGTTCCAGCTGGGCCAGCTGGTGCTCCACCCATTATAAGATGCAAAGATTGTGTTAAAGTGATGTAACATCGATCGGTTAATGGTGTTATCACCAGCCGTGGAACATTTCCCAAATATTCGTAATCGTATTTGAAGGAAGCATCGCAGATATCAGCGAAACAATCACCAACTTTGTCGTCCCATCTGTAAGTTGTTCGGTCATTTAAAGTGAAACAAAGCAAGTTAATAAAGTGTGTTGATAAATATTTGAGTAAAAAACAAGAGATAAATCGAGGCAATAAATGACTTTGTCTTTAAAGATGAGCTACATAACAGATAAATTTTCCAAGCAATAGTTTCTAAAAATATCACAAAAGTAAGATAATCTGCAAACAATAACTAAACAAATTTGATAAAAGAATTATGAAATTGAATATGCAATTAACGAAATTATGTACAATTTTAATGTTATTCAATTTATTCCATTAATCATCTAATTCGTCCTATTTAATATTTTATTTAGCACATTTATGCTGAAGTATAGATATATAGTTCATAATCAAGTGCTTTATTTATACAGTGCAACCTCTAGTATCTGAAACAATAGCGAGACATGGCTATTCTCATATTCTCATAATTATTATACCATACAGGGTGAATCACAAAGACTGAGCCACCTAAATGACTCTTTCAGTTTTTGGAATACAGAGAAACGTTTGAAACAAAGTTGTTTGATTCTGAGGGGGCTATTACGCGATGGAAAACCTTATTTCTCAAATGGACGTGTTTACGAGTGTTGCAGTATGTTTAAAAAAGAATAATGCAATGACAATTACGAAAAGTAAGATGTACTACAAATAAATTATTTCAAAATTATTTATGGACCCCATATGTTTCTCGTTTATGTGAGGTTTATTTTTCTCTACCTTAACACTGAGCTAACAAAGAGAACCGATGGCATCCAGTTACATTTGAGCAAAATAACGCTGTGATGGCATTTCTGCTAATTTTACAACCAGGAGCCGATTCTTGTCGACAAGAAACTAAGGTCTTCTTGTCAATGCTTCTCAAAACAAGCCTGCTTCATTGTAATATTTTCAATAATATAATACAATGATAATTCATTGTAATTTCAGCATGGTACACATTGTACATATTTTGCAAAGAATCAGTTAAATCTTTTTATAGAAAAACCATAGTCCCTCAAAGTTCTGGGGTAAGTCCCTCACAGTCTGCTTAGCAAAAAGGCATCACTGCTTTCTCCACTCCCTGGCCAGAGGGTCTAGAGGAAGTTTCTATTCCTTGGCAATGCAATTTTTTCTAATTTTCATTTTGCTAACGTACCACTACTTTCTTTTTGGGCCCAGAAATTTGGATCTCCGTTTAATTGGTTTCTCGCATAGCTTAAGCTACTCATATTGGTATTGCTATTTTTCTGATTCGTAGAGGTCACTGATGTACAGCAATATCCACATCTTTATTTTGTGGCTCCATTGGAGTTTAGTTGCAAAGAAACCTGAACAAATCTCAATTGCATGTTCTTGTTTGTTAATTCCCTTCATCGTAGATCTCCCAAGGTGCGATACAATCTTGCAATTTTTGCAGTTTTTACATTAGCGTTAATGCTACAATTTAGTAGTACAATGCCATGACACATAAATTATATTGACACGTATAATGTCAACTTTATACCGCGTACTTAATGTACGAATGAAATGAGATTAAGGAAGGACGTAACTACAGATACACTTCAAGTCAATTTGTTTGTTTGTGTGATAGTAGAGGACACAGGCAGGAAGATATAGTGTCCGAATAATAGAAAGTTTGGATAGTGGAACTTTCGGATACTAGAGGCTCCACTATACGACTAAATCAATCGTCGTCGAGTTTACCTGTGCCTGAGTTGCGATTGCCACTGAAAACTAGAATAGTGATCTGCCTTCATCGCGATCATTTTCGCTACAACGTCCCTTGCATGCACGTCGATTGTACAGATTGTCATGATCTTCCTTCTATCGCTTTCACTCAAATCTCCACAGAGAAGTACTATCAACGCGTTTAACTGATTAATTTGCTTTCGTTGATAATCTTTAAACGCATTCTCGAAACCTTCCTCTAGTCTCATAAAGGCCATGTTTACTTCCGTAGTCCACCAGATTTGAGTTCCGCATAGCGCGGGTTGAGCTCGATGATCGAAAATCCATTGCTCACGTGGTTTCTCGTCGTACGTAGCTACTGCCTGAGATATATGATGCCTTACCGATCTCTTCATCGCATCTGTTACGTTGTTCAACCAAACTTCCACCTAAAAAAATAATAGGAAAATGAAATATGTTCTATTAAAAAAAATATACAAATATCTATGAAAATATAAATGATAAGAATATTTGCATCAATGTTATTGACACTTCAAACTATTAGGAATTTTAGTTTTCTACTACGGATACACAAATCCAACTTGGTCCATCTCTGCATACTGTGTCGATTTTGACCGGTAATTTTAAGTAATTCTTAATTTCTTCCATATTTTTTTTTAATTTTACTTTGCTTGGTAAAAAGGTTGCTGTTTAGAGGATCCACTTCCAATAACTCTAACCTTCATACGTGTTATCAAGGTCACCCTTCTGAGTGACCTTCTAAAGGTTATAGTCACCATTCGTTGTTTGTTAAAAAATTATTAACAGAATAACTTAATTTGTCCGACGAAAATGGCAGTCCCAGTGATTCTCACATCTGAAAAATCTTACAACTGTTACAAGTGCGTTAACCTTGATTGGTAAATACTATTTATTTCGTACAATTCAATTTTGAATACCACGAGAGTAAAATGAGTACTGCGATCCATAAGTCAGTGAATTTTTGTATATATATATCTTTTATTTATATCCATTTTATATCTTTCTGAATTTTTTTTACGTTTTTTTTTAATTGCAAAAGATTTAAGCATTTGGCTACAGTATCACTTGTATCGTAAATTAGGGATTATAAGTAGTATTTCAAAATCTTCCCACATTTCTTTCAAATCCAAAACGATAAGAAGTTAAGCCACGGAGTGGACACATTGTCAATCGCGTTAATGAAGAAACATATTGCCAGTGGATATGCAGCACGTGATATTGCTATACATGTATATACATGTATATATACACATACATTTGATTGCTCGGTACGTTCGATCTTTTGATTGTGCTGGTCGTTGAAACCAAGTCTGTGTCTTGTTGACATCTTTTTACTAAGGAACTCAATGAAAAAGAAGCGCGATGAATAATGAGAAACATACGAGACGATGCATAAAACATAGACTCGACCTGTGGATTGCTTCCTTGTTCCACGTTTTGAACAGAGCAATCGTTACGGAACACTTGGAATGGTGACGATCTGCACTTGTCACTTTGCCCATTCAATTTCTCAACCCTTGCGTCGGTCTTGATCCTTATCGGTAACAAGTTCGAAGTAGCGAAAAGCGTATTTGCATTTGGCTATCGCGCACGATTAAACGACGAAGGCAGTGCCGGTAGTTACAAACGATCGTTCTATTCCAACTCTAGTGATTTTCGTGATGTATAATACCCTAACCTAATGGTTTGTATGTTACGACGAGTGTTAGGTGTTCCGGGTAAATCCTAATATCTTCCCGTATGCCGACTTTGTCGGTAACATACATATTGTGCACTGTTTTACTGTCTGTTGTTTCTGCATCTGCAGGTTACATCAATGTTTTACGGCCGATGAAATTGAGATAAGCAACGTACGAGATAATAATAGAGTAAGAGATAGTAATAAATTCCTCAATTGGATCTTTCATATTAATGTAAACATTTATATTCGCCTAACGCCTAATTTTAGGTTTGAGTTTCGTTCAATTCGCTAATCCTAGTTTAAGCACGATTCGTATGGAATAAAGCAATTACAGATCCAACATTTACTTTGTGTAACACTTTTTAACTTATTAAGTTTCTTTGGTTATTTAATATTATTATTATTATTATTATTATTTATGTACTTCGTAACTTCTTAACATCACCGATCGACCCGGAGTTTTTTTGATAATTGACACCATCATATGGAATGATACGCAGTAAAAATTGCAAAAGACGTGTTGGAAGTAGTACAAAACGAGGAAGCTGGTTAATTCGGTAAACAGATTGTAGAATCCTTTTACATATTTACAATTACCAGCCATTTTGACTGGTATTTGTATAAATAGCCAAGAAAAAAAGAATTATTTTGGTTTTAAATAACTAAAAAAAATAAAATAAAATTCATTATGTTTTTTTTAGTTATAGTTGCAAAAGTCATTATATCATTGCGGAAAATAAATGTAACATGATTAGGAATTTTATTTTAGAATTGTAAAACCAGTCATTTTGACTGATGTGGTTGTTCTAGCTTTAATAAACAAAAACCTTTTGAACAGGATAGAATCTTGATAACATACGTGAAATTGAAGGAGGTAAGTTCTCTAAACAGCAATTTTATGCCAAAATTTTGGGGGCTTTTTAAAACCTAAAAATATGCTAAAAAAGCTGCGTGGTCTTGAATGATTCAGTATGCAGACGACGTTGGTAAAAATCAGATTACAAACGGAGGGTTCAAAACCTATCTTTATATTTATTACGAGAAAGTACCTTTCCACTGCAATCGCAAGTCCCATGAATAGCCATTTCCTCACCGTCTTTGGCAATCATAACTCTCGCCTGCTTCGTTGCTTTCCCACCGTCCATTTTCCAATGCAATTTTGCAATAGAATCGTACAGCTTTGACAAATGTCTGCAGACCAATTCAGGGTTGTTTCCTAAGGAGAGGTAATGTATTCAACAAATTTCAAATTCAGTATTAAGTTCATAAAATAATTGTTTACAAAAGTGCTTTACTTAAATTAAATAAATATAATTATGCTACTAACGTTGTCCTGCAGTACGTTTTGTTTAACTAGAACTGCCAAAATACCTAGAAAAATACGAATGATACAAAGAAATGCTTCAGACGAAAGCTGTATCCATACTGTGCATTCATCTATTTGACCTTGCAATGGCTTTGAAACATCCTGTAAAGCTGACATTACAGTTCTTAAATAGATGTCGCTATTTTTTAATACATATTTTTGTAGTTGACATTCAGACATTTTCAAAACACTTCAAACTCGTGTTCTTTGCAAAATCCGCTATCGAGATACGTCTCTTAAAATTTGATGTGTCACCGGCATTAGCGTTACCCAATGTGTATCATGGGGATAGATAAAGATGTTTTCCATAATTCTACCATAATTATAATATACATTCTTTTGTAATTATAATTCTATTTATAATTGTGTAATTTATAATTATAATATAATATATATAATTCTACCATAGATCTACCACTGATATGGCATTGTCAAAACACAATTTCGCAGTTTTCTAATGTTTTTAGAATAGTTAGTCAGCCTTTTTCTATTCTTTTTTTTTTTGACAATTTGGAAACGTCTGAATGTCAAATACGAGAATATGTAATCAAAGATGAAGCAATTCATTTGAAAATTTTAATGTCATCCCTACAGGACGTTTCAACGTAATCGCAACATCAAACAGATAAAAGTACAGTACGTGTTCTTCTATACCAAACAACTTTTGCCTCAAACATTTTTTCCCTAACAATCGTATCTTTTCAGGCAATTAAGCGCCCCGAGTTACACAGAACATATTATACGGTTCAAGCTAACATATTAAATATATGTAACGGCAAATAAATCGCTCATTTTTGCTCCCTCGATTTTGCAATTGAATTTCGTACCAAATGACAGCTTACGATCTTATACTCATCAAAGCGTCAGTTTGCATACTTTGGTGTGCGAACTTTGATCGAATAATTCATACAGTTGTTCTCGGAAATATTGCTAACTGCTGAAAATTTGAGTTTGGATCCTCAAAATTCAAAATGTCTGATTCAATCCTGTGTACGATATATTTAAAGTAGCATTTATGTCTTGTATTTTTTTGTCCTATTTAAAGCAAATCATGATGATGGATACGTCACATATATTATGTGGGTACATGTATCCCATGATTTTGGCTATATCCAAGAAACCATACAAGTGTCATAACGTAGATGCAACAGCCAACAGTTTGCCACTTCTTCTCAGTCGACACAGGTTGCCCAGGTGCTCTTGTTATCATCTTTCTTTACTTCTTTTCTCAAATTCCAAAAATATTTTGCGGTGTCCACCATCCTGGGATCAAAAAAAAAAAAAAAAAAACAAAATTCAAATAGTAATTCAGCAGTTATTACACATATAGAAATGATGTATCCATCTAAATTTGATAATTGAATATAAAATTGATAAATACTGATTTTAGATTGTTAATTTTGAAAATCTAAATTGAAATAGCGATTGAACAGTTACTTTACATAATAAGAAAAATGTATCTATTTAAACTTAAACAAATTGATACATACTATCTAGATTGTCACTGTCAGTTTTGAGAATCTAAGTTCAAATTCACTATCAGCAGTCAGCAAAACGCCTGGGACTGATTTTTTGAATTATCTGGCACGAGATAAAGGACCACATACCGAAGCACATATTGATGGGTACGAGCATGTTGGACGCCTAATGCCTCGGAAATTAATTGCCGACTGAACTTGAAAATTTGATGTGACTGATATCTCATCATAAGCTATCATTTTGGTAGCAAAAATGTATCACTTTTCGATCGTTCTTTTTCGCAGGAAAAGACAATAAGAATTATTTATAGCTATCAATGTTTTCTAACCATTGCTTAAAATATCAAGTAAATCTGCTGCGGAGATGAAATAAAACCTTGGGTAAATTAATCTCTTTGTTTCCAAGTAATCGGCTAACGCTTTCTCGCAGAAATTTAGTTGCACTTGCAGCTCTTCTAGTTTCTCTAAAAGTTTAGGCCGGTTGGTTGCTTTTATGATATTCAAATTGCTCAACATTTCCTTCAGCAGTTCCTTAAAAATTATTACACGTATCGCTATATTTTTCGATATAATGTTCTCAAACATGTTTGAAAAAATATTACTTATCGTATTAATCTCTTTAAACAAATGCTTAATTTAATAAAAGTGTGGCATACTTAGATATTCTATACATGTATTATAATTTAATTGTAATGCAATTAGGTAATTTATATTTGTGGAAAAAATGGACTGTGTTTTGCAGTACAATTGAAATGAAGGAAATTCGAAATGAAGAAAACATTGAAAATTGTATTAGAAACTTTCATCTTCAGGAAGAGTGTATTAAAAAATTAATCAAAAACATGAGCATTGAACTGATAACTGTTGTTTTTTCTTTTGTTATATGGTCATACATGTATATTCTATCATTCATACATGTATATACTCTGATTATTAATTAAAATTATTTCAAACCAGCATCGTCGGCCGGATGATACTCTGGCCTAACCTATAACCCACACATTTTTAAAAATGGTTACATCTTTCATGAATGAGTTAAATCTAGCTTGGACTATATAAAATTACGTCCGCCTTCGTCAGAGTGAAACGTAATCGTAACATAAATTGTATTCAAGTATTTTGCGAATATCTCGGAAACTGAAACCGAGCGGCGGTTACATGTATAAAAAAAAAGTTGTTTAGAATGTTGGTCTTGACAACATATTTCAAGATCATCAAAATCGGTGAACTCTTTTCTATATAATTACTATTTTTAGTTAGCTTGGTATTATTGTGTTTGATTGAAAGCTTATTACCTACGTATAGTATAATATTAATTATATTAATGTTATTAATAATATTAAAGTGTAACATTATATATATATATACACATAATAATATTATACATACAAAAAAGTTTTGTCGAATCTCTAAATATAAAATTTAATTTCAAATAAAATTCAATAAATCTTTAAAAATAAAATTTATCGCGCAGGATTATTAACGTTTATTTTTCATTGCTCTATAACATAATGCTCATGGTTGTTTCTGATTCAACATCGCTTTCGTGAATGTATCGTTTCTATAAAATTGTTTGTTCTTCTGTTGCATTCAATTCATTTACTAATCCATTTGACCTTTCTTTAATTTCTCAACTTCAAACAGATCCTCATCAAACATTCAACATAAATTTTAAACTCAACTCGTAACCCATTCATTTTTCTTTTTTATTTCCATAATATTATGGCTATCTCTCATAGTTAGGTTAGGTTGTACCATATAAAAATGTTATGAAATTAAATTTATCGAAGCTTTCTGCCAATACCTTGACGACATATTTCAAGGTCATTGAGATCCGTGTCCTTTTGCGTATAGTTAAGGAACATGCTTAAAAAAATGCGAAGAAATGTATTTATTGTGTGAAAACGTTTATAAAAGATTCCTAAGTATATTTTTTTTAAAAGGAAGATTTTTTTGTATTATGAATGAAATTATCAAAGAAAATTACGGAAGATGTTAATAAACAGTTAATAGAAGTACATACTTTGAACTCCCTGTCAATTTTTTCAAACCGCTTGGTTTCTTCTGGAAGTTGGCTCCTAATGTCTTCAGAGCCAATGAAGATGCTTTCGAGATAACCCCAAGCTCGTTGAACTTCGAACCATGCATTAATCACTGCATCCGCAGTACTTAGTTTTTTCTGCCAGTCAAGAATTTCACCGAGAAAATATCCAACGAATTTCGAACCTAACAAGTTTTGCAGTTGCACCTATTATAAAGCAATAAGAAAGCGATATAGCACATTGTCATAAGTTGAATAAGTCAATATAAGCAAATATTAAATTATTGGAAAATAAGCGAATTAAATAGGGAGCTAAAAATAATAAAATTAAAAAAAAAGGCGAAGAGGAATTTCTGAGCATATTAAAGTAAAACAAAATTAAATGTCATTAATATACAAGTAGCTAAATCATGCTGTGGAGATCAATGTAATAAAAAGTAAATCGGTACATATAATTTATAAATTAGATACTTACAAACATTAGATAAATTTCAATCTTTATAAAAAATTTTTACAAAATTAAAATTTATATGTATAATGGAATTTGATCTCTCTATATGGTGCTGAGACAAGTTACAGCATACTGTAGACACTTATTATTAACGCAAAAAGTATTAATAAATTGAATATAATAATAATGACAGTAACAAGAAAATTGTTACTAAAGAAATTTTACAAGGTAACAAGTAAAAAAAATTGAAAAAAATTCATAGATTTTTGTATTGTTTATAACGTATTGTTTGAAGCATTCCACGTGTATTTTATTATTTTATTTCTTTGACGATGAAATATCTTGAAACGGTACCTGATTGTCCTCAAGGATTTCAATAGTTTCCTCGTCGATTTTAAGAATATTTAATTTCGTACGCTCGTGTATCTCTTTCCCAAATTCGAGCGTACTCCAAGTGTCCTTAAGTTCTTTTAGCACCTTCTCCATTGCCATTTCCTTCACTGATTTAGCGACAATATTTTTAACTTCTTCTTCATATTTGTGCAATTGTAACTTTAGCAAGTCTTCCAATGTTGTATTATCGGTCATGATAAATACCACCTACGCAATAATTAAATTCTATGACAAAAGAATTACCTCTAATACTAAAATATATCATATTTATTATATTATTATTATGTTATATTTATTATTTATAAGTATATTATATTATATTATGTATTTCGTATTACATACAGTAATGTAAACAGTGAAATCATAATCATACAGGTTCTTAAATTTTGTGTTTACAACAATTTTCCATTTAAGGTCTTATTTTCAAGAAAATAAAATTTGAACATGCTTAGTTTGATATACGTGCGTGATACATTTCCAAATTCATTTTTCTCGAAAATAAAGTATCTTGCGATAAAATTTTATTCTACGCCTTTGACTTATTTTTACATGTAGTTTAGAATCCTATCGATTATTTATTCTTGTTCAGTTCGAAATTAGCCAAGTTTAAATATTCTTGTCAAATTTTCAAACTCGATTTTCTCAGAAATGAAGCATCATATGAAAAAATTTTATTATATACTTAATGTAGAATCGCTCGCTATCCGGTTGTACAATATCATCTATCGGGCCTCAGCCGGTATACAGAATGTACCGAAAATTGCGGTACAAGCCGGAAGGGGCTGATTCTCCATGCAAAAGCAAGTCGAAAATGTAGCGTAGCAATTTTTGATACAAGGCTCCGTTTTCGAGAAAATCGATTATAAAATTTCCCTGACTCCCGTTATTTTTCAAGTACACGCGTACCTACATGATGAGACCCTATAACCCATATTTTTAAAAAGCTACGTAATATTTTACACATCTGGATGCACGTGCGCAAATACCATTGCTCTTCACGTAAATTTATATTATATTTATATGACATAGATAATACTATATTTTTATATACTTTTTGTAAATGAATATTCAGTAATAGAAAAAGTTACTTCAGCCAACGCTCAAACCGCGTTGAATACACTCGTTCTCGTTTATATTAGATTCTGTATTATGATTAGACCGTGGATGTTTATATAAATTCGTAGCTATATTTAACACTATTACAGAAATACAATTATGGAAATTGAACTTAAATAGAAATTTCTTTCATTCAATACAATTAAGTATCATAACTCATTTATTATGTTAATCCTTAACACTATAGCAGAAACTTTACTTTCAATATTTTCGATATCTTTGCACATTATTCTATGCAATCTGTGTATTTCTACACTTTTGAATTTACTATAAATGTACAATCTATTCGTAACTCATGATAATGGTTTAAATTTAAATTACGTTTGTAGAATACGTCTTACATTTGTCACCAGGGGGCCATCGATATCAACATAAGGCCTAGCGATGTTAATGCTTTCTCACTAGTGGTCACATTGACACTGTTTGTTTTTATAAATATAACTTCCAACACAAGTTTTCCTATCCCAGTAGTGTCTAAGGTACAGGTCTGTTAGTCGTGCCTTACTGAAGAGTCCCTTTACTAGCAGATCACGGACGAAACACTACTTCTCTCTTTTCCTCCATTTCCTTTATTTGTCCATTCTACATCATTCATCTCCCCTGTCTGTTTTCACGAGCTGTTTGTTTATATAGTATTCAACAACTGTGGAACCACATATGGGCAAGATGGAGTGACAGAAAGGAAAGGGGACGGTTTTCGCGACGGAAGATTAATTCAAGAATGCCCATGGGAGGAGCCGCTCTTTGGCCTGAGAATCAAAATTAGGTAATAGTAGGTAAGCGCGATACACCATGTGTCTTAAGCCCGCACGTGGGGTGTCCACGCACCTTTCTGGCCTAATTAGGTTAAGAGGGGAGCCGCTCCATTGGGATACGTCGCAGAAGAGGGAGTAGGAGATCCGTCCGCCTTGGACACTGGTTTGTCCCGCTGTTTGGTGATGACGTGGGAGGGAGGAATCCCGTTTTTAGAATGTTCCTGCCATGTACATAAAACTCCCTTCTTCCTTCCTTCCATTGTGTCTAAGGCATGAGCCTGCTAGGTAACCTTACTGATGAGTCCACTAGCAGGTTCTGGACGAAACACACTTTTTTTTCTTTTTCTCCATCTTCTTTCATATATCCGTGATAATTGTAGCTGCTGGCTGTAGATGTTGCTTGCCGGAGTACTGCGCGGTATTTTCTTCTTATTTAGATGTCGTAGAAGAAAAATCGGACTTCGGAAAAGTACGAGGCGCCGGGATTTGAACCCAGAATCCGAACGTTTGTACTCGAAGGCGCTAACCACTGCGCTGCCGTCGTCCGACAACTCGTCCTGTTTTGCAACCAAGTTTTCAGGACAGAAAAAATAAAAAAAAAACAAAATCATATAAAAGCTCAACTCCCCCGCGGCTTAAACCCAAAAATTGTATTAAACACAAAAAATGTAAAGCGCCGACACATAATATAGTATGGCTACGTCGTACCGCCGCGTATCGGTACCTTTGTCTAACACATTATTACAAACATTCACCATTTATTGTGAACACCAATATGTATTTAAAACTATATCTTGGGCTAAATAAACATCATTAAAAAAAAGCACTCGTTCTCATCCGATCACGAAAGTCAAGCAGCGCTGGGCACGGATAGTACTTGGATAAGTGACCGCTTGGGAATTCCGTGTGGTGTTGGCCTTTTTTTCAATCTTTTTTACTTCTTTAATAATCTATTTCTAATAATCTTCTTTAAACATCGAGAAGAAAAAATCTTTTGATATTACACGACTATTACCATACATTATATCATTCTCCCATACACGTACAAATAAATTATCACGTGTCTTAAAATTAAGAGGTCACGTCTCTTGATATGCTGAAATTTTATAACAGATTAATATCAAAAATTGTTATTCTATATTTTCGACTTTGCAGGAAAGTTACCCCCATTCGGCTTGTACTACCGAACGAAGTACCTAAGTACGAAGAAACCTATTCAACCGACTGTCGTTACCTCCCAAGTAAATATGAAAATTTTCGATTTACTTGTACAAGGGAATCAACCTCTTTCATTTTCTATCATGATTTTCGATTATACCTCATTTTTATCGATCTACGTAAATCCTAAATCATATATTAGTCAAAAAAGTGTTTTAAATAAAATTTACTTTGTTTCGATGTTGCAACTTTGAAACTCGACAGTGTAATTAAAAGGAATTACCTAACTTAAAGGTAACTGCTCACAACCGACTGACTGTTTTGGAAACATTATAAAACAGCATTATGAAAGATATCCTTACGTGCCGCTAATGCCGGCAATATATCGAATTTGAAATTTCATCTGTTAATAACAGATGGTGTACACGACACAAGTTTATAATGTTCTGAAAACGTCCGAATGTCAGATTACAAGAATATGCAATAAAAAATGAAGGTATCTATTGAAGAATCTAATGTCACTTTCACGGAAGGTCTAATGATTACCGCAAGATCAAATACACAAAAGTATAGTATATTCCCATCGATATCGTGCAAGCAATTTTTATCTGTAACATTTTTATTCGTGTTTCTCGAAATATTTGAGCGGCTTGAGTCAAACAGTATATACTGTATATATAAAAAACAACAACTATTACATAAATATATAACTCATAAAATATGATAATATATTGGTAGATATAAATAAAACAGAATGTAAAAAGGATAAATACACGGACGTAACTTCTAAGAAGAAATACGTAACTTTTGGCGTTATTACGAGCCAATTTGACTCCGAGCCAATTATGCAATAATATTTGATTCTAGATATTTAAAGAGGTAAGAGAATTCTTGCACTTTAGAAATAGCTTGCAGGAATGATATAATATTTAAATTAAAATTAATGTAGATAATATTAATTAGACATTGTCACTGCATTATCAATATTGTTATTTTCATTTAATTTTCTATTATTATTATTATGTAATGCTATTTCTATTTGTAATTATCAATATTGCTGCTATTATATTTTTCATATTTTCATTATATTTATGATACGCAGATTTAATATTTATAGAGATATTTATTAGATTATCTCCTTGTCGTTGATATTCAATCATTATCTGTCAAGTTCTCGGTTCGTTTCATATTAAATACTGCGCAGCTTTCATGGTATTGTAATGTCTGTAATTAAAATCAAGGCCTAACCAAGACTTGGCCTAATTAACCAGAGATCTAGCTTGGATTCAATGCGTTCAAGTGTAAGCAGAATACTTGTTAATTAACATAACAATTAACTTGCAGCAATTTAGGAATAGAAATTCAGTTAACCTAAGTAATAACACGTAAACACGGAATTATTACCTTCGTTTCAGCCATTAATTCTCTCCAATGCCTGTCTCTAATTGCTGGATTCTGCAATTCTGAGACCGCTCTCAATGATGCCATCATGTTCCTTACTTGTGCTTCGATATTAGTGTACAATTCCCAAAGACGTACGTCTTTGTCCAGTTCTGTCAAATGAAATTTGCGAAATCTTGCAATGAACAATGTAGGAAAACATTCTATTTTATATTTACAAATACAGAAGTCAAATGCATGATATGCAAAGAAGTTGAGGAAAAGTTTTAGGAGCATGTAGTACTTGTCAAGACAAAGAAAATGTCTTAATAAACATGGATCCAAAAACCATTAATTCCAGAGTTATGGGATGTTTACTGTATAAGAGTATAGTGTATAGTAAATCAATTATTTCGTTTAAATGAATTAAACAACGAATTGAAAAATGTTATCAAGAGATAAGAAAAATGCAGGAGGTCGACGTATGAGTATTTCTGTGACGTAATTAAACGTGCTGAAGTGTATGTTGAAATGAACGTGGGACATATGCTGTAAAGAATGCCACTAGGATTTCCGTCTGTGTTTTCTGTCATCCGATCACTTGTTGTCCAAACGTCAATCTCCATCGATGATCCGTGTTATTGTGCTATGCGTGCGTTACGTCCGATGATTTGACATGCGTCAAACCACGTTACAAGCTCTGAAACTCTCGTGGTGGGGGATGTCACGGTCAAGCGTGACCTGTGTTTCTCCAATCCGCCAACGACGTTGCTGTAGAGTAGTCAAAACAATAGAAAACACAAGACCATAATTTTGCGTCTTCTAAAACGAAGTTTAACCATAAAAAGAATTGTTTATGAATAAATAATGTACACCTACTTATAAAGTATTATAAAATATAAAATATTATAAAAAATATAAAAAGATTCATTTGGTTACTTGTACCACGTATTATTTCACTAAACTGTTTTGACTACTCGACATGAGTGTTCTGCGTGTGGTGAACAATGTAAACAATTTTTTGTCCTCAAATCTGAGACCACTCTGACTACAAAAGTTTAGGAATCCCTATATACGACCGTGTGTTAAATCTATATTAATAAACTAGACAGCAATTGCCATTTGTTTTTCTAGGACTTTCAAGTGTTACGTTCGCATGAGATGAATCAGAAGCAGTTTAAATGTAACCGCAGTGCTATCCGATTACAATCTAGAATTCACAAACGTTTTGTATTTATCTTAGGATATCGTACCCAGTAGTTAGAAGTGTTCGGGGTTCAGGCGGAAAAGTTTAGAATTTTAATTGTATTTATACCAGATTAGTGATTTTATAAATGGCAACTCTATGTAGAGGTAATGCCTTACTGACAAAAACATTTCATAATTCCGAAATTACTAGTTTTTGGACTCGTGTTTGTTAACATTCTTTGTTTATTTTAATGAGTACTATATGTTTTTAAAGTTTCTCCGAACTTTTATGTATACCCTATACACTGTAAATTCCTATTGCTGATTTTCAAATTAATGTTATACGAACAAAGAGAATATTATACAGGGTGGTCCATACGTGGGAGTACAATGAAGTACGCTGTGATTCTACGAGAAAAAGTAAGGCGAAAATATATAGAATAAAATTTGTTAACACGACGCTGCGTTTTCGCGAAAATCGAGTTCGAAAATTTGACGAGTATATTTAAATTTGGCTAATTCCGGACTAAATAAGAATATATATAGATAGGGGCTAAATTTTATTTGCATAGTGTCAAATTTTGGAAATCATATGAAGCTACTACTGAATAATACAAAATTTGATATAGTTGGATCTAATTAATTAATATACAAATGCAAATGTACAAATACGTTTTTTTGGATACTATATATTATCATAAAAAAATTTTTTGATGTCGAATAAAAATATTGCTGTCAGAAAAATTCATATAAAAAAGCCTAAAGCTTAAATTAAATTTGATAATTTTTTATTACCGAGAAAGATGTAAGTAAAAGAAAAGTGCTTCTCCTTACGTCTTAATTCTCTGAGAATTTTTTTGCATTCTTGATCCATCCATTCGACATCTAGTTTCTTCCACGTGGTTTTCTTCCACTCGTTCAAAGAAGTTGTAATGACATTCACATAATCCCACAAAGTTTTCAAAAACTGCATCTCCTTTTGTATCTGTTTCGTCATTTTAAATTCAGGCAATTCCTGTTCAAAAATGACAATTTGATCACGTAGATCTTTTTCTTCGCTCAGGAATTTTAACACCTCTTCATGTATTTCGTTTAGTTTTTCATAATGATTTTCACAATCTGGGCTGTAAATACAATTACTCAGCTGTGTCACACTAAATCATAACATTTAGGAAATTATTCGAGACTTTTATAAATTTATCACGTGTAGCACATTACGTTTGGTATTAACAAGATTCCTATATTATCGACATGTTTTTCTATTTCGCATAGAGGTTATTACGTTTACGTAGATAATTAAAAGTTATAGTACAAAACAAAATAAAACATTTAAACACTTCTGTTATTATTGAAAGTATGATGAAGTATTCAAGACAAAAGTTGTACTACTTAAGATAGCAAATATGATGGAATAATCAAATTTTTTGTTTCACGTTACTTTGAAGGTTATTTGAAATTCATTGGGTTTCATCCTCTTTTTTAAATGAAATCATAGCTTTTAGTAGTAGGTTTTGCTGAAATAGCTTTAACTTCATAGCATTGCGGTTGATACCAATATACAGGGTGGTTGGTAACTGGTGGTACAAGCGGAAAGGGGGTGATTCTACGCGACAAAAGAAGTCGAAAATATAGAATAAAAATTTTTTTTTTTTAATTTTTCCATCGAGACAACGATCTACAGTGAGATCCGTTATAACGAGACGTGATAAAGTGCACGCGTACCGAGCGAAAATTCAAAGTCGATTTTCTCGAAAACAAAGCCTCAAACGAAAAATTTTTATTCTATATTTTCGACTTCTTTTTTCGCGTAGAATCACCCCCTTTCCGCTTGTACCACCAGTTACCACCACCCTGTATATATAGAAAACAGGGTGACTCATGTGACTTTTGTAAACAAGTTGTACGATAGTGTTCAGGTATACATATAATATGTGTAGGTAAATACATAACCACATATCTGTTTCAGTGTCGTGTCTCACTCTGTCATGCATGTGTCCAGAATTAGAAATAATTTAAAATTAATTCAAGTATGGCCACATAGATAAGCAAATTCGTAGCCATGTAATATATCTGAATATGTATATTCATGAGTAAATTGCGGATATTTATAGAAATTCAGTTTTTTTGTGCAAATAATTAAAAAAATGGAACCTAGGTAGAAAAGTTTTTCACATATTAAATATTATAACGAGTGCTGTACTGGGGATATTTTATATATCTTTGCATATTGCATATATATGCGTTCAGGACACTTCTTCAGGAATCTTCAAATTTCTCATAAATGCATAAAAATCCTACTTACACGAGAATTACAGACGAGTAGATAAGAATGTCACAAGACTATGATAGTCAAAACTATTAAGTTCTATTTAAAAGAAAAGATAGAATTACGTTTTTCACACATATCAATATATAAAGGTAAAAATATATAACATTATTTTTAAAATAACACATGATATCATTTGATTTTAGCGTATAGGACTTTTGTTTATCTCTGAGCGTTTTCAACATAGAGTTTGTTTTAATTGCATGGGATACTCTGTATATTAAAACAATTGAATAACTGTCTGAAGGAATATTTCAATAAATTTTTAAGAATAATATTTTAATGCCAATGGTAGAAAATGTAAAAAGAATTGTAAAATAATATGAAAAATAGGCTGTACATTGAAGATAGCGATGGTCGGTAAAGACGAAAAATTTGATGGATATCATAGCATCAAATGGTAGATCTAAAACTTAAAAAATTAGTTTCGGGAGGTCATGCGTTTGGAAGATACAGGTCCTTATATGATAGATCTTCACTACTATTAAACGCAATGTTTGACAATTAGTATAACAATGTGATATATGGCTGAGAAATAAATATATGTACGTGTAGATATTATTCGACCGCATCCTGTATGTATAGGGATTTTCGGAACGCATGATCTCCCAAACCTAAGATTTTACATCTTAAGTCTATTGTTTCATGCAAATAATACCCACAAAATTTCGATCTGTTTGGCCACCGGAATAATATCCGAAAAATAAATTAGAAGTAACTTTTAGATAAAATGAAAAATTTTATAAAATTATTTTATAAAAATACTTTCAATACTATCTTTAGCTTACTTGAAAACATCTTGTTCATGGAATTCGTTCAGGAAACGGTGTTGTTTAAAGTTATAATAGCTTAGCCTTTTCTTCAAAAGATCGATTTGACGAGTCATTAAAGGCTGGACGATATGTTTCACTTGAGCAGCCATCTTTTTCAATGTTTCCCAATTAACGGGCAATTCTACGAGCCAATTAAAAATTTTCTCATCTAAATACACGTTGTAGCCTTGTAGCAATTCTATTGTTTTCTGAAAAATATTTGTTTAATTTAATTCCAGAATGTATACAACGAGACAGTATTTAGTCACAGAGCTAACCCCAACCTAACCCCAATCACAGAGTGTTTCGTGAGCAAACCGACAGAGTATTATACATCAGCATGTTTGGAATGATATTCCTATTAAATAATATTATTGATATCATATATCAGTTCATCTTTGTCTGTAATCTTCGAAAGTATAATAATATAAACCACAGATACTACAATACAATTCATTCAGACTACGTAATTAATTGCCTAAAATTGTGTTTGTCATTCATGTATTGTATCTTGATACAATATATATAGTAGCTGACGAAAGTGTTAAAATATTTGCCACACAATTTGTGATAAAATATTGTGATAATTTGTGATGTGTATGTGTAAATATATTATGTGCATTGTATACATTGTTTCTGAAATTTCGTTTATGCATTGTAATAAGATATTAATATCGCGATTGTCATAGTAAAAATTTCCGATTTGTAAATGTCCGATTTGAAAAATTAGTATACAGCGTGAATAAGCAATCTTAAATACAGGGTGTCCTATTTCAATCGATCTACACAAATTGCTCCAAACTATACGTTATTGGAAGAAGCGTTTCAAATAAAACTTATTCTGTTTGAGGCAGAACATCGTGTGATGACCACCAGATTTGTCTAGATGGAGGCGTTTTGAGATCTCAGTGTGATCTATCTCTTTTTTTACCTTAACTATACATTCTTTTACTATAACTTTAATTTTAATTTTAATATTAATATTAATATTGATTTTAATTCTAACCTTAAATTTAATTTTAATTTTAAAAATATAAATTTGTAGGATCATTCGACAAATCTGCAAAAACATTTGGAAGTTTCCCATTTAAATGAATTTACAACCGTAATGTTACAAAAAGAAAGACACAACACAAGATGCAGGTTAAGTAATTTTGATGATGTCGATAAGACAGGTTACAAAAAAGTAAAACGAGATGTAGTGGAGGCATGCGTCAGATTAATCACAATACATGATAGGCCACTCTCCCCGATAGATAACGACGCGTTTAGAAATATAATTCAGATAATAAATTTCCAAAAAGAAAAAATAAATTCACATAAAGTGCGTGATGCTCTTATTGAGCAGGCAATTGAAGTAAGGAGAAAAATTATAGAGAAAATAAAAGGCAAATTAATATGCTTGAAGGTGGATGCAGCAACTATGGAAGATGATAAACTGTATGTTTGCACATTAGCAGTTGTTAAACTTTTTAGGGGTTTTTGTTATTTAATATTAATTGTTGTAATTATATGCAAAATAGAGGACATCGATTTCAATGACTATATACACATAATATGTAGTCAAGATCAACATTCTAAGTGTTTTCTTACTGTACATTCACGTAACTTTCCACCCCACTTAGTTTCCAAAATATTTGCAAAAAAATGTAATTACATTTAAGTTACGATTACTCATCGATCAGATAATCATTTTTTATATATTATATAAATACTATACATATATACATATGTATATATGTATATAAGTATATAAATATATAAGTATAAATAAAAAAGGAAAATCGGTAGGTTATAGGTTAGGTTATATAAGTTAGGATAGACTATTATATCCAGCGGCCTAGCGGCAACGAATACAGCTAATGTGAAATGATTTTCAATGAATCGACTGATATATGGAACGTTGTATTAGGTTGTCCCAAAAGATGTTTTCGTTCTATAAGGAAATAATGGAGTGCACAACATTTTTTGGATCATATTATTTTATTGAATTATGTATGATGCATTTTGTAGTAATAGAAGAAGATGGATCATACATAATTCAATAAAATAATATAAATATTTATGCGATGGCATTAGGTGTGGCTCTTTGTTTTAAAGAATACCATTCTCTTCCTTAAAAACAAATTAAATTCTTTCATTTCTGGTTTTTCCAAATATTTGATTATTTGGTATAAAGATATTTTTAATGTCAAATATTGATCATCTGTATTGTTTACGAATTAACCTAACTTCAAATTCAATTTATATATTAAATTATATATTATTTATAATTAATTTAAATAATATATCAAATATTAATATATTAAATAATATGGAATAATAAATTATAATTAATTTAAATAATATTAACGAATCTGTAAACAAACAATGGATTTCTCAAAGAAACGGAACTAGAAAAATGTGTAATTTTAGTAATTGTCATGTGATAGTTTCGTTATCATAGTTGTAATTTATTTCAATTTATTTTCATGCCAGTGCACTTTCTCCGCTTTTGTCAAGTATACTCGTCATCGTCTAAAAATAATTCCGCGTGTAAGTGCACATTTTCAAAATTAAATAAAGCACTTAAAGATTTAGAGAGACAATAAGACAAACAAGTAAGTGGAAATAAAAAAGTAAAAGAACGAAAACACTTTTGTTTCCTTTCCGCGATTTTCCCCAAAATGGTTTATTAGTTTATCGGTTCGCTACACGCTTCCGTAATCTCAACAAAATTATTTGATTACTTCAACAGCGTGTGCCTTTGATTAGTTCGAATAATGAAGGTTCTAATGCTCTATATTTATTATTTATTATGGAAATTTTTGTTACGAGTATTACCTTAATTGGATCAAACATGTCTTCGATCTCGTATTGACGATCCCTGACTTCCTTTAAATAGTATATAGTTTCTAGAAGTGCGTCATAGTCATCTTCGTGTATAGGACGCGAGAAATTTTCCATTGCTGCTTTCAAAAATTCTGCTAAATTCTCCAATCTAAAATGAACGAGAAGCGAAATTTCAATCGTTAAAGTAGTTTTTTGTTCTCTGACATTTTATATCGAACGAAAAAAAAGATTATGTGTGTATAGTAATTCTATATATATATAGAACATTTACAGATTTATAGATCTATAGATCTATAAATGTACGTAGAGAATCTGTATAATATAGAATTATCATATTGGGTAGCCCGGAAAGTTCGTTCCGATTCACATTTCCATTCAATTTACATTTACCGAATTATATAGGTGTCATTTGTTCCACAAACTTTCTCCATCTTTCAGGAACTTGAATATTCCATCATTCCATAACCTCTTAGGCTTTTCGGCGAAGAACTTTCGAAAAATCGAAACGAACTTTCCGGGAAACCCAATACATCATTATATATCATGATACTAATTATTATAGATGCAATAAAAACAGTATCTACCTATCATATCCTATGAAAATGAACGAATAAGAAAGATAACAATTCATAATTACGCGCGGAAGTGAAATATGCCTCTGCAACCTAACCCCAACCTAATTCCAATGTGGCAACGTTGTTCGTTTAGAGAGCGAATATCGATGACAAGTTTCTGATATATTCTATAACTAAGTCTCTACAAGAATTAGAAAATTTTCAACAGTGCATGTAAATGTTGTTATTACGTTAAAAGTTGTTTAATGGAGCAATACATTAAGCATCAAATGAAAGGACAATAGGCGAGCCTAAAATTATATCAAGTCAACGTATTATTCCAGTAATAGATAAATGATCAGTTTCACTTGAAATGTTTACATTGGTTGCGCGCGCAATAGGTACTTTGATAGTTTCCCGGAATAGTGATTCCGAGCCAAATACTCAGTTTACTATTCAGTTGCACAAATATACAGGATTAGTGCCAACAGCGAACGTTAGGATTGTGGTTTCAGAGAAATCGGCTCTATTTGCAGTTAGAGGTCAACATGTGATTCGCATTCATAGAACTCCCTTTTATAGATTACTCGGATGTCTCAATAATATTTAATTGCATTCGAAACGTCCAATGGGAAGAGTACACGAAGAGTAGGCTGTTAAAGGAACATTCTTCTTAACATTATACCGATGTGTTAATATTCTCAAACGAATGATGTGGGGAATAGAGAAGAAAATAAATTACATTTAAGAATAAGTATATTATTCAATTTTAATCCTAGTAAAATAAAATATTATTATTGTTAATATAATATTTAATATAATATATATTTAATATAATATATATTTAATATAATATAATATTTAATATAATATATATTTAATATAATATAATATTTAATATAATATATATTTAATATAATATAATATTTAATATAAATTCTGTCTAATATCTTAATTTCTTTACAGAAGTTGATAATCTTTTGTTGAAAAGGCATCCATGCAAGCATATTCTTAAGATTATTGTCGACACTATGCTCTTTTCCTTTATTATGTGAGTTATATTTGCAGTGTTCCATGTTAGTTATTGTAGTTTGTTCTTTACGACTGGGATCTTGATTTATCTTCAAATCAAAGAAACTAGGGATTAATTTGTGGAGTGAATTTATATCGCAATTTTCCAATAACGCGTCTTAGTTTTGTTCGCATATTTTTTCGATATATTTTACAATGTGAAATGACGTGCTGCATATGGGAAGCTGACATGGTTCTTCAGTGGATGCAATTTTTGCTGTTGGATCAGTTAGTTCATTTCCAAAAATAAAATAAAATATTCTAATGGATAATTCTTCTTATATCCTTTAAATACTAATCATTATTTGTTCAATATAAATATTATGCTCTATTCTGTACGACTATTTTTTTTACTAATGACAATCCTGCTTAAACGAGATTTGCATACTATACAACGCGATATTATATTTAGACGATAGCTTAATGATTCTTTAATGTAAAAATAATAGCATGGCATAATAACTTTCGAGCTGGCCAAAATAATCTTTCGTATATAAAACTTGTGCAGTTTATTCGCGTCACGAATGCAAATATGCCATTCAGATTTATGTTTCACTTGCTTATGCGTCCAACTGAAACTGCAAAGTAAAATAATTTCTGGAAAATCGTAGTCGGAATGTTAGCGGTATCAAAATGGCTCAAAATAGATATTTCTCATTAGACGTGGATTAAATTATACGGTATTGGAGAAAACATGTTTACATTTCGTCAGAAGTGTTTAGTATTGATACTCCTGATCAAAACTAATTGCATTAATGTCACGAGTCATTAAATATACGTAGAATACCAGTGCTTCATTAGTTTCCTAGTAAACAATCGTAAATCTAATAAAATATCGCAATTCTTTTCCGGAACAGCATGGGAAAGTATCGATTAGAACAACTTCGGTTGCGACGGTTTTAATTGATGTTTAAAATTGTAATTTTAAACGAGAAGAATTTGATTACTGCATGATAATGTTCTTATTGAAAGATCACAACACAGATTCCTACGTTTTGTATTATGTTCCTTAGGTTTCTCTTCAGTAAACATCTTCAGCTTATTGAAAGATTCTAACAAAGATTTTTTCGTTTTGTATCATACTCCATAGGCTTCTCTTCAGTAAATATCTTTAGCTTATTGAAAGATTACAACATAGATACCTATGTTTTGTATTATATTCCACAGGCTTCTCTTTAGTCAATATGCAGAGCTTGTTGAAAGATCACAACATAGATTTCTACTTTTTGTATCATGTCCCATAAGCTTCTCTTCGGCAAATATCTTCAGTTTATTGAAAGATTCTAACAAAAATGTCTTCGTTTTGTATCATGCTCCATAGGCTTCTCTTCAGTAAATATCTTCAGCTTATTGAAAGATTCTAACAAAGATTTCTTCATTTTGTATCATACTCCATAGGTTTCTCTTCAGTAAATATCTTCAGCTTATTGAAAGATTACAACATAGATACCTATGTTTTGTATTATATTCCATAGGCTTCTCTTTAGTCAATATGCAGAGCTTGTTGAAAGATCACAACATAGATTTCTACTTTTTGTATCATGTCCCATAAGCTTCTCTTCGGCAAATATCTTCAGTTTATTGAAAGATTCTAACAAAAATGTCTTCGTTTTGTATCATGCTCCATAGGCTTCTCTTCAGTAAATATATTCAGCTTATTGAAAGATCACAACACAGATTTCTACGTTTTGTACAATGTTCCATAGGCTTCTCTTCAGTAAATATCTTCAGCTTATTGAAAGATCACACCTCAGATTCCTACATTTTGTATCACGTTCCTTAGGCTTCTTTTCATCATATTTGCTGATATTATCTTCAGCTTATTGCAAAATTATAACAAAAATTCCTACGTCTTATATGATGTTCCTTAGGCTTCTCTTCAGTCGATATGCACAGCTTATTGAAAAATCACAACAAAAATTCCTACCTTCTATATCATGTTCCTTAGGCTTCTCTTCAGAAAACGTCTTCAACTTATTGAAAGATTATAACAACAATTCCCACGTTTTGAACCATGTTCCATAGGCTTCTCTTCAGTCAATATGCAAAACTTATTGAAAGATTACAACATAGATACCTATGTTTTGTATTATATTCCATAGGCTTATCTTCAGTCAGTATGCAGAGCTTATTAAAAGATCACAACATAGATTTCTACGTTTTGTACAATGTTCCTTAGGCTTCTCTTCAGCACATTTTGCTGTTTTTGCTGATATTATCTTCAGTTTACTGAAAGATTATAACAAAAATTCCTACGTCTTATATGATGTTCCTTAGGCTTCTCTTCAGTCGATATGCACAGCATATTGAGAGATCACAACAAAAATTCCTACCTTCTATAACATGTTTCTTAAGCTTCTCTTCAGAAAATGTCTTCCACTTATTGAAAGATTACAACAAAAATTCCCACGTTTTGTATCATGTTCCATAGGCTTCTCTTCAGCAAATATCTTCAGCTTATTGAAAGATCACACCTCAGATTCCTACATTTTGTATCACGTTCCTTAGGCTTCTCTTCAGCATATTTGCTGATATTATCTTCAGCTTATTGCAAGATTATAACAAAAATTCCTACGTCTTATATGATGTTCCTTAGGCTTCTCTTCAGTCGATATGCACAGCATATTGAGAGATCACGACAAAAATTCCTACCTTCTATATCATATTTCTTAAGCTTCTCTTCAGAAAATGTCTTCAACTTATTGAAAGATTATAACAAAAATTCCCACGTTTTGTATCATGTTCCATAGGCTTCTCTTCAGCAAATATCTTCAGCTTATTGAAAGATCACACCTCAGATTCCTACATTTTGTATCACGTTCCTTAGGCTTCTCTTCAGCATATTTGCTGATATTATCTTCAGCTTATTGCAAAGTTATAACAAATATTCCTACGTCTTATATGATGTTCCTTAGGCTGCTCTCCAGTCGATATGCACAGCTTATTGAAAGATGACAACAAAAATTCCTACCTTCTATATCATGTTCCTTAGACTTCTCTTAAGAACATGTCTTCAACTTATTGAAAGATCACACCCCAGACTCCTACATTTTGTAACACGGTCCCTATCGCTTTCTTACTTACCATTTTGGTCAAAACTACAATGCTACGTACTCTATAGACTCAACATTCTAACACACAAGGACTAGAGAAAGTTAGTTGATATTTCATTTCTTTTCAAAATTATAAATAACTTAGTAGACTAGTCCTCCTTATTTCGACTAATTAATTTCAATGAAGGAATACGTCATTTTCGCAACACGCTCGTCTGCCGTGTAGAATTTTTTAATATCTCAGATTTATCAACCCCATTTATCGTCATATCACCAGAATCTGGAATTATCTGAATAATATTGCTGATCCAGTTGAATCTTTCGGATCGATCAATAAATGCACAAGAACGTCTATGAAACTCTTAAAAGACACTATACTCACTTTTTTGTCTGTACTTTCAAATCTGTATCTTGATTAATTCTATAATTCTAATTAATCTAACTAATCTATTAATTCTATAATATCGTATAAATGCTCATAAATATAACATAAATATAAATATAAGTTCTCAATAATAATTCTAATAAAATATCAACATACTTTCTCGAAACAACATAACCTCGAAAAGTATCGATCAGAAGAATTTTAACCGTAAAAATCTTGCAATATCAAATGAAGGTTAAATCTAATAGAAATTTTAAAAATTTAATTACTGTGTGGTTATTCGGTTGACCAGATACTCCTTCAGCACGTTAGCCCATTTGCAAATTATGTTCAAGAGCGTCTGCTTGAAAGGTTTTATGTCAAGTTTCAACCATCGACAAAAGATTTGCTCATTTTGCAATTGATCGCACTGGTTGTACAGAGACATAAAATAATCTATTTCTCGCTTGAAGTCCGCTAAATCTGGTTTTTTCTCTTTCAGGTTATCTGGGATAAACTCTGGATGCTGTTCGATCATTTCTCTTTGCTTGGGACTTACGTATTGAGAAAATCTCAAAAAATAGGATAAATATTCCTGTTTATCGTCTGTCCACAGCCACGAGTAGATTTCGTATATCTGTGGATAATAATTTGTACCAGTAATTCCTTGCCATTAATTATTTGAGGTTATGTCAGAATATACAGGGTGAATCAGTGAATACTATCACTTAGAATAGCTCGTTATTTATTGACTTTAGCAAAAAATGTTTGAAGTAAAACTTATTGTACTTGAGAAGACCGATTGTATAAATATATTTCGATTTTTTGATGCTTTATGTTTTCTGAGATATCAAGTTAACTTTGTTTTTTTAACGATTATTTTTAACATCATATTTTTTAGATACTCCGTTGTAGCGGCTAAAAAGACCAATTCAACGAGCTAGAATAAGCTGACCTTCAGTTGACCTTGAAACCCAAAACGAAACGAGAATTCGTCAAAAGTAACCTGTCTTGAATTCAAAAATTTACAAAAACTCAACATCACAGCGATATCTCAGAAAATATAAGATTAGAATACAAGAAATAATTAAAATATATTCATCCGGTCTGGCTTCTTAAATAAATAAATTGCATTTCAATGGTTGAAATAAGAGAAATGAGAAATACGGTAATTTTTATAAAAATGTTAAATTCAAGTTCAGATAATTACATATACATGTCCTTTCACTTCTATTAAGGCCAATTTTGCTCGATTGCAAGTTTCTTCCAACATAAACACGATACCTTCCTCTTCAGCAACATCGAGCTTCGACGATGAAAATACAATTAATATAGTTTGTATGGAAGGAAAAATTAGTCGACTATTAACGTTTTATCAAAAATTGTTCTATTAAAAATTGTAAAAACAATTGTCAATATACTAGTTAGAAATATCAGTGATAAATAATATACCGCGTAATTTTCTCGACCTTCATGCAACTCAGGATCGACGCGTGGTATGAGGGTGCCCATTTTCATCATTTCAAGTAGAAGTGACTCGAAGAAAGCATAGAAACCTTCCGGATCATCTAATTCTACTGGCGGTCGGAAAACAATACTAGGGTTCTATCAACATATAAACCAGCAGAGAGAATGATTAAAGAATTGTTGCATTAGGTACATGCACGTGCTTCATTTAACAATAAGAATTTTACGTATTTATAAAGATAGAAAATTGTAACATATAATTTAGTATTGTAAAAGTTTTTAATATTTATTACTTAATTTATGTTAGTAACATATTAAGGTCGTGTCTAGATTTCATGCCCTTTTAACCCTTTTTTTCACTTAAAAGGTAAAGATATATAGTTAAAAAAAAATCGAGTGTTTTTAAATAGTTCGACATAGTCACATCTGCAGAAATACTCACCTCCAAACACATCTGAATCTCAAACGAGGGACATATTTCGCCTTCGGGATCAGTTTCGTCGAGAATGTAACAAATACTGCGAAGATAATAATAAATGATTGTTTAATTCTTATCAAACGTTGCATAAAGTGTTGTTTTAATGTTGCAAAGACTTAAAAGAGTAGCCACATTCAGATGAATATTAAATGTTATAAAACGTTTATTTTTCAATATCTAAATTATTAGATAGTAAAATGGAAATAATGTTTTTCATAGTGGCAATCTGAATTTAAAAATGTAGAAACACGTAAAATTAAAGCTGTTATCCAGACGCAAAATATTTTGCGCTCTATAATTCTGTTGATTCATAATAATATTTATTTTTATAATACTTAACAATTTTTAATTTAGTTCATTCTTGGTGGAAATTAAATAGTACATATATGTTGGAAACAATATCAAATTCGTTTAAAATTTCGTTTTTCAGAGAATTGACGTTAAAAAATTGTCTGATACCAGTACTATTGTATTTCGTTATAAACAAATATATCTACTACTTATGTTTGCGTTTATCCCATAACGTAAAGAAGAACAAATAATGAAACAAAATGTTCATGCACGTATTCTGATTTTTATTCTGTCCATTAGATCTGGGATATTATATTTGTCTTCTGATTCTGTCGTACGTCTTTTGTATTCCGGGATGTCCTATCAAGTCATGATTTTCTATTAGTATTTGTTCTATCTCTTCTTCACTTAAACTCTGTATTGGTTCGTAAGCAAACTCTATGTCGTCGCGTTGGTCATTAAAAAATAAAAGAAGTCTTTTTATATGTGCTTTGTCTTGTGCGTTTAAGTTGTTGTCTCCTATTCCTATCTTACTATTTGTTTTGAGTACGTTTGATATTTTCTGTAACCGTGCGGTTTCGTCATATGGGCCTAGATTCAGCTCTTTATATCATAGCTGTCCGCCTGTGGCTTCGCCCGCACAATATTTAAATTTCTGTTCACTGCCATCTATTCGAACACCTTTTAGGAGGTGATTTTCAAAAAACCCTCAAACGCGTTTTTTTTTTTATTTTTTATTTTATTTTTAATGGGGAATTTGTTCGCCAAACCTCCAGCTGAAGTGGATGTGCAAATACGCTTATCTTTTGAGAAAAAAACCTATTTCTTCTTTTTATTCCCACGAAAGTTGAATTTCGAAAAACGCTGAAACGTCTGCCTACTTTTAATGAGAAGTTCGTCTATCAAATTTCATATCTTCAGTTTTAGCGCTTATTCTTTGAGAAGAAAACGTATCTCTTTTTCATATATTATACATAAGAGCTGAACTTCGAAAAAGTCGAATTTCACGCGCCCCACTTTAGCAATGCATAGGATGTGAGCATCCTTTAAAAAAATTGTTTCTTCGACCATTCGCGGAGTACGTCAACGGGAGTCGTAAATTCCCGTTACGATTAGATAATCGACGCCATGAACTGATCGATCCCCTTATTTCTGTTAGGATAATAGGGGGTGGTTCAATCGACTTTACACTGAATTAACACATATAAATTACAGTTTATTCCAACAACTTTATATAGAAGCTAATTACGCTGATGCGTATGTACAAGTTAAGTAAGTGATTGATCTAAGGGTAGAAACCTGGTAAAGATGTGTTGACTATCCTAACGATGAAGAATAAGTGAAGTTCAGAGACGATGCTGCATCGGAGGAAAACTAGTGATGGGTGTGTCTAGCACACGGGACCATCGGATTTGTTGATGAAAATTTTAGTTAGGAAAGCGAGGGCAATGGACATTGCTTCCGATTGGATAATAAGAAGGTTGGGCTGGGCGTTAACGAATGAATCAGTCGCTCTAGTGTTATATACAGGGAGGTTGGTAACTGGTGGTACAAGCGGAAAGGGAGTGATTCTACGCGAAAAAAGAAGTCGAAAATATAGAATAAAAATTTTTCGTTCGAGGCTTTGTTTTCGAGAAAATCGACTTTGAATTTTCGGTCGGTACGCGTGCACTTTATCAGGTCTCGTTATAACGGATCTCACTGTAGATCGTTGTTTCGATGGAAAATATCGCAGTTTAAGTTTGTTTTTGCCGTAATGGAAAATTAGGAATACATAATGAAATAATATGAAGTAATCATAAAGTTTATTATTACAAAAATTGCTGAAAATGCTGCCCATTCTATATATATACAGGGTGTACTGAAAATTGTGGTACAAGCCGAAAGAGGGTGATAGCTCATGCAAAAGTAAGTCGAAAATGTAGAGTAGCAATTTTCGATACAAGGCTCCGTTTTCGAGAAAATCGATTATAAAATTTCGTCCGCCTGACTCCCGTTATTTTTCAAGTACACGTGTACCTACATGATGGAACCCTATAACCCATATTTTTAAAAAGCTACGTAATATTTTACACATCTGGATGCACGTGCGCAAATACCATTGCTCTTCACGTAAATTTATATTATATTTATATGACATAGATAATATTATATTTTTATATACTTTCTTTTTTTTTTATTTTTCCCATATTTTCTATCTTTCTTGACAATCTACTTTTAATAATCTGCAATCGAAGCATCGAGAAACAGAAATGTTTTAGTATTACGCGACCATTTTCATACATTGTATCATTCTCATTATGGCACACACCACCTATGTTTTTTTAAATATTCTATTTTTTGATTATCAGGAACAAATAAGAAAAATGTTTACTTCAGCCAACGTTCAAACCGCGTTGAGTGCACTCGTTCTCGTCCGATCACGAAAGTTAAGCAGCGCTGGGCACGGATAGTACTTGGATGGGTGACCGCCTGGGAACTCCGTGTGGTGTTGGCTTTTTTTTTTATTTTTCCAATATTTTTTACCTTTCTTGACAATCTATTTTTAACAATCTACAATCGAAGCATCGAGAAACAGAAATGTTTTAGTATTACGAGACCATTTTCATACGTTGTATCATTCCCATTTTGGCACACACCTATGTTTCTTTAAATATTCTATTTTTTGATCATCAGGAACAAATAAGAAAAATGTTTACTTCAGCCAACGCTCAAACCGCGTTGAGTGCACTCGTTCTCGTCCGATCACGAAAGTTAAGCAGCGCTGGGCACGGATAGTACTTGGATGGGTGACCGCCTGGGAACTCCGTGTGGTGTTGGCTTTTTTTTTTATTTTTCCCATATTTTCTATCTTTCTTGACAATCTACTTTTAATAATCTGCAATCGAAGCATCGAGAAACAGAAATGTTTTAGTATTACGCGACCATTTTCATACATTGTATCATTCTCATTATGGCACACACCACCTATGTTTTTTTAAATATTCTATTTTTTGATTATCAGGAACAAATAAGAAAAATGTTTACTTCAGCCAACGCTCAAACCGCGTTGAGTGCACTCGTTCTCGTCCGATCACGAAAGTTAAGCAGCGCTGGGCACGGATAGTACTTGGATGGGTGACCGCCTGGGAACTCCGTGTGGTGTTGGCTTTTTTTTTTCCAATCTTTTTACTTTTTTTTAATAATCTATTTCTAATAATCTACTTTAAACTTTTGATCTTAAATCTTTTGATATTACACGACTATTACCATACATTATATCATTCTCCCATACACGTACAAATAAATTATCACATGTCTGAAAATTAAGAGGTCACGTTTCTTGATATGCTAAAATTTTATAACAGATTAATATCAAAAATTGTTATTCTATATTTTCGACTTTGCAGGAGAGTTACCGCCATTCGGCTTGTACTACCGAACGAAGTACCTAAGTACGAAGAAACCTATTCAACCGACTGTCGTTACCTCCCAAGTAAATATGAAAATATGAAAGATTGTTATTCCATATACGCGACTATTGTTACGCGGGGAATCACCTCCATTTGATTTATATTACCGAACATAGTAGCTAAATGCGAAGAAATCCGTTTAATCTTAGACAGCGAAATATGTCGTAAACTGAACTCGATAACTTCATCGAAAAATATGTTTTAAATAAAAGTGTATTTTCGACCACTCGCAGGGACGCAATCGCGAGGAGAGACGTCAACGGGAGTCGTAAATTCCCGTTACGATTATAGCAATCGACACCACGAATTGATCGATCCCCTGATTTCGGTTAAGATAATAGGGGTGATCCAGTTAGTATAACACTGTGGTTCACAGAATTATAAATTATATATTTCCAACACTTAAATTACACTGTGGAGTAGGTATAAATAGATAACAACTTGTCGCACGAAGATAAGATAGATATGCACACTAGAGCAAGGTTCTTATAATTGAATTTAATATGTTAGTGGACGTAGCACTATAGGATACTTAATAGAGGAGGTGAATGTTCGACAATACCGAGAACCGACTTAGATAGTTGATGTGAGTTATACTCCTCTAGCGTTATGCTTGGACTTAGACGTTAGGCGTTAGCTTTTGTACTTAGTTGTTGCAGGCGTTAGTTTTTGTACTTAGTTGTTGACTTTTCTAGCGGTGTAGAACAAGTAAAGTAGAGTGACGATGCTGTGTTGGAGGAAAGATAGCGAAGGGTGTGTCTAGCGCATGGGACCATCGGATTTGTTCATGACATTTGTGGTCAGGAAAGTGAGGACAGTATACATTGCTTCTGATTGGATAAACGTAGGTTGGTGGACTAGGAAGAGTCTTAGCCGCCCTCGATAGAAAGTTGCTAGTGGGAAGCATCGTACGTGAGAAAAACTTTCCCATGTCAAGCCGTAGTAGACAGTAGTCTTTAGAAAAGAATTTGGAAAAACGATATTTGTTGGGTCTGAAGGACTTTAGCTAGCAAATTACTGGGATTTATGATGGATCCTTAAGACTATTGAGAGTACGCAGCAAGGATGAGCGGACATCTGGTTCCCGTCTGGGCCGCGGTGTACGGCCTGGTCTAGGTAGAGTGTCGCCCGATGTAACAAAAAGTTTTAGTGTTCTGAGAGAAACATTTGGTGCTGTCCGTTTCCCAATATTGGGTCAAGGTCGTTCAGCTGTATCACGACCAGCTTAGTTTTTTAGATAACCCCCACTTTTTTACGGGTCGTGATTGTATGGTAAAAGATAAATACCTTTTGCTCTTATTAGTTTTTCGATTTGGCCTTCTGTTTTGCAGATATTTGATTTCGGCGTGAAATCACCATCCGCTTGAATTTTTCTATTGTTTTGAATTTGAACCATACGATTAGAACAGTATCAAAGTGTTCAGGAAGGAAGTGTTCAGCTGATGGTAATAACTAAGAAAATGCGGAAAATACGTATTAATTTAAGCACGTGTTCCTGTGTATTACACGTTTACACATTCTCGTACACAGTATTTTTCACACAGCGCCATAATTAAAGATTAAGTGCATTAAGATTCGGTGATCCCGGAAGTTATAAAACTGGTCCTTTTCGCCCTATCCATTGACTTGTGTGTTTCACATCTAAGAACCACTAATATCACTGGCACAATATACAAGAGCATTATCTTGCTGAAACCATGACCTCTGTCGATCGTTCTGATGGATCCATGTCGAACGTCATCATTCAAGATATCCTGACAAAAGTTTTGAGACAAAATCTACACAAATTCGACAGTTAATAGCCGCAATGAAGTTGGAAGGAACGCAGTCCAATGATATTGACTTTGACATTGAATGTTCCAGCTTAAACATGTAAGCTCCAATGATATTGATTGAGCACCTGTGGATGTAACTGTGGCGGAGGTTGTCGCTGCCAGGTGAAAAGAGAGTTTAGCGTTTCGTCCCGGGACTACCGGTGGACTCGTCAGTAAG